GGTGGCCAGGGCTTTAGGGGCTGGCTCTTTCCTCCCTTGCATGGTCGCTCGAACAAATGGATGGGCAGGGAGGAAGTGTGGTGGGCCGGGAACCCCGAGATCCCAGAAGAGTCCTATATGGAAGCCAGTAACTGCGATTCCTTACGAATTTCAGGAGTCCGTGCGCCTGAATGCTTGGTCAACACCGCATAACTTTTGGATTTTTCCATATGTCACAGTGTGGTCACTTTACAGACACTGCAACAGAAGGACTGGATGCAGGCCAGAAAAATGATTGTAACAACACATTTCATTTATAATCTTAATTTCCTAAATTTTCGATAGTGAAACCGATCCCAACCTTGTTGGGTCCATTTCTTCTCAGTGATCTCAGTATCAACGCTGTGTGGTGCATAATGTTTGTTAAAAAACAGTAAGAGATCCGGGGGTGGCACAGTCGGGCTGCACTCGCCTCCCTATTTTATTGATGGGGATATGTTTTCATTTGTTATAACAACAAATGTCGTTCGCATTCAACTGCAGAATAATTTGATAGGCCCTATTTTCAAAGAGAAATCCCCACAAAAGATACGCCCCATATCTTCTTGGGTCGCCCTCAACGTCGCAACAATTGCATTGCAGTTGCCGCTCTTGATTGTGAATGGATGATCCATCACTTTCAAAAACTACAAGCAGGAAAATGATGAAATAAACTCAAAAGAAACGAACAATTTCTAGTTGCTGGAATTTCAACAACAGAAAATGGCATCGAGAATGCAATGGATGTCAAATCAGTAAAGCTTTTGGCTTTACCCCATTGTGGCCGCAAAAAGCGCCTAGCCCGTTCAGTTTTTTCCCCCAAGGCAACCCACGTTTAACTTACATTTAATTCTGATCTGACTGAAATTTAATGTTGTCGTATTAGTTAATCCTTGGCTCGTTGGCCATAAGTTTAATATCGGAATTCGGAGTTACAAAAATGGCACGGCAAAAATCACCATTACATAGGCAACTATGTCCCTTTCTGAACTCAGATAGAATACTGCCAAAATGTACCTGTCATTTCTCAACAGTTTCTAAAAACCAAATACAAATAGGCCTACTGACTATTCCATATTTCCATAGTAGCTGTGCAAGCTGGCTATTGTCAAATGTCTCAACAATTTTGTCCAGGATTGTAGGACTCTCTTTCGAATCATAGTAATATCTACGCAGGGCACTCTGGTACAGGGTGATATTAAATTAGTCCCAAGTTCATGTGCCATACAATTTCCAATGGACTATGGACTTAAGCGTCTGTTTTGTATCCAGCTTATGGAGACTTTGAGCACGATGCAAACAGCATTTCTGGTCATTTGTGCTCTTTGACCAAGATCAATGACCAATCTTTTTTCGACTACGGATTAACTTCCATGGCGTGGGCACTGATCTGGCATAGTTTGATAAGCCAATAAAGTCGAATAATTCGATGGGTGGCCCTTTCAAAGTTTTGCCTGGTCATCAACAAGGGTTTCAACGCAATTTGACTACACATTTCGCTCGAGCTGAAAGTAACCCGCAGCTGCCTGCACAGTTCAAGGGCTTAAGCCCTCCTTGCTGCTGTTTGCCATCCTTACAGCGCCCTCAATCCAAATCCAATACTGATCCTTTTCCCCAGGGTCTTCGCGCAATAACACAGAGGTCCAGGACGCAAGGCGAGCTTTAAACAACCACTTTGAACAAAAGATCTCACACTTCTGCAAACTTTATAATTTATAGATAGGTTCTTATCTTAAACTCGTAAGGACTGTAGTACCTGGCAAATCTCTCGACTGATAAAACATGAATAATGGCTCTTAAAACCTGACATCATTTCACAATAAAATTTGAAGCAAACCTGAGATAAATAAAACCCCAGACAATCAACTGTTACCGAATCGGATACCTTTCACCCACTTCAGCAAATACAAACATGGGGAAAACGTCCTATAAATTTAAAATCTCCCACGCAAACCCAAATTAAAATCATTGAAAAACACAAAAATATCCTCCAACATGCCATCACATACAAAAATATTCAAAAATATATGAAAACAAGGTATACCAAGTTACATAAACACCAATTTTGTACGTTTCTTTAAAAGGCAGATGCATTTTTTTTTCATAACAAAGACAGCACGTTAGTGATGATTTGAAATGTTTTAAAATTCTACAGATAAAATTAAAACCCATGAAATCTTCATCCTAGTGCATGATGCTGTATGGCTGACAGAAATGGTGAATCTGGCTTTGCTAAAAAATCAATATGGTCTTTGTGGAAAATGAAGTAGATTCTGGTTTCCATCCAAGCAGCTAAATCTTGCCCATGTGCTTTGTTTTTAAATTCAGCGATGCAATTTTCAACTGAATGGGAGCAATCTTGTTTCCTGCTCGGTACGAATGCAACCAAGGACGGCTACGGTGCGGATACGGTGCTCAGTCCTTCATTAACAATGAAGTTTCCGTTATTAATACAGGCCACTCATAATAGTGGGCCTCCAAGAGTTTGCAATGCATTGGCCAATCACACCGCGCAAAATTTGTCGACCCTTTCCAAACACGCATTGGGTCAACAAATTTCGGGTACAGTGATTGGGCAATGTGTTGCAAACTCTTGGAGGCGCACTACTGTGAAACGCCCGTATTGCACTGAGGTGCATGATATAGCCAAATACTGGTGATTATAGCACTACATCATGACAACGCCTGCATGATATAGCCAAATACTAGTGATTATAGCACTACATCATGACAACGCCTGCACATCAGGCCTATAAACATTCCTAAAAAACATCTCCAGCTCACATGAAAAGAAAGGCTTGCTGGTATTTCAGAAAAGGCTCTCTGGCTGAGATGAAATGCTGTAATAGATACCTGTTTTAGATGACGGACAAGCCTTTTGTGAGTTAAATTTGAATAAAATCTGGTGAACTGAGTTCTTCAAATTCACATGGACATAGCAATTTGAATTCTCCATACTAAAAACACTGTTGCCATACCTGGGGATTCAAATTGCTGTGTTGAAGTGCAATCAGATAACTCAGGCAAGCAGATTGTATTCAAATTTAACTTGCAAAAGGCTTATTACTAATTAGTCTTATTCAAGGGTTAACGGTGTCTGCTTCTTCTCACTTGATTTGCCTATAATACTCATTCTAAACAAAGCTTAACATTTCTCTGAAGTCCCTAAAATTCAGATAAATATTATCCAGACATGATTTGGATAGATACGTAAGTCTCTCCATAAACTTCCTCTGTATGAACAAATTATATTTATGTACAAAGAGACATTTATGAGAAGGGCAGCAGAAATGGGCCTATGATGTTTTCCACCTTCAAAATTCATGACAAAACTGACCAAAAACAATTGATAACAAGTGATTCAACTGAACTTGATAAGCTGCTTTCTTTGAGGTTAATGGACTAGATGGCCTTTACATGATACAATATATTACAGGGTGTCCCAGAAAAAACCAAACCCTGAGGAAAGGAGTTAATATGCCCAAACCATGAGATATGATTATAATGTATAAGGATCTCCGAAAAGTAGAAGCAGTATTCTTTCTAATGATACCTTGATGGTATCCCTCCTGTCATGCATGACTGAACACCATTGTCTTGACATTGGGGCATCCGAACTCAGTTGTAACACTTTGAATGCGTTCCAGGAGCCATTGAGCAAACTCCCATCACCTCCTGAGGTCTCCACGCAAAAGTTGGTAACAGATATGCATTCAGGTATGGATGGAACTGCAGGTCTAACTGCGTTATCCGGTTAAACGAAGTATGGGACAGTCCAAGTCCATTCCTCTTGCAACTGGTTCCCCTTGGCTGTTCGACAAGTTGCTGTCGAACTGCAGCATTGTTTTCAGGAGTTCGGCACTGTGTGCCTCCTTCCCGAATGACCTTTATTCAAAATAAGGCTTGTCCCATGTTCTTGGTATTTGCGCACATTTTCCTAGATGGTCGACTTTGCCGGTGGATCCCTATCAGGGAAGGTTTTTCCCAAATGCAGCTTGGGTGGTTTGAAAGCTCTTGTTTTCTGGAAATTTCGTCACGACAAACACTCTTTGCTCTTTGTTAAGTTGCACCATGTTGCAGACTTGCTGTCATGCTTCGAACACTTTTCAACACTGCACCGGCCTACCTCGGGGCAAATCAACACATTTAAACTAGATTATTGCATAACTTGAAAGAGACAAACGGTAATCTTCCCTTATTAACATGACCTTTTGTTGTCACTTTCAACCAGGGCAAGCATGACAGAGGACAACCTCATTCACTGGTTATCCAAAGTGTTACATCTGAGTTCGCATGCCCCATTTTTAAGACAGTGGTGTTCAGTCATGCATGACAGGAGGGATACCATCAAGGTATCATTAGAAAGATTACTGCTTCTACTTTTCAGAGATCCTTATACATTATAATCATATCTCATGGTTTGGGCATATTATATTAACCCCTTTCCTCAGGGTTTGGTTTTTTCTGGGACACCCTGTATGGCAAAAATAGTCCAACTTATGCACACAGTCTGTTCAAATTTTGAGGTCCTCGAAGCAAGCACAAGACTGCGCCGTGCACGGCTTTGGCCTGGAATTTCAGCCCACTCAAATGTGCTAGTATATTTAAATATAAATCAACACATCAATAATTTCAGATTGTAAAACTTTTCTCTGCACACAATTTTACATTGGCAAGACATAAATGTCGAACATTTTGCTTTCCTTTGGCCACTGTCAACCACTAATGAAATGAGCAACCAATATTCAAATTTCATATTGTTTTAGCTATAAATTGTATCTGTCTCCATGATGCAATATTGCAGGCAACCATTTTTCGTCAATAAGAATTGTTTGGTCCACAATTTTCAGATGAGAGCCTCATAGTACTGAATAAAAACCTGATATATTACTTGCAATATCCATGGTTACATGAAAAATGAAAAAGCTATTCAACATTAGGATATTCATATAAATGGTCTTGCTGAAAAAAGTATGTTATTATAGTTGCCAAAACCAGCCAAATTTTCAATACTGTCCGTTTGACTTTCTGCAGTCGAATCTGCAGTCCTCCAAATGCCAAATGTTAAGATTTTCCAAAATATTATAAATCAAGGGTAATTATGGGAAGATATTTTGGATTTTTTTTTGTTGATCACTTTTTATTTAATTTATTTCTTATACAACCACCATTTTAACCGTCACCAGAATCACGAAGAGATCTGACGCAGGGGTGTGGAGAATCTTGTTTGCACCTCACTACTATCCACACTCATTCACCATTGCAGTGATGTCTGCAAGTTATCATCTTCACAATGCACACCCAATGTTGCATACATTCTGTACGCGCTACTAGCACACTGAACCACATTCTCATCAACCCCTTCAGCCCATTATAGCAGCAAGGAGAACACGATACTTGTGGCATCGATTGTCATCACGTGTGTTTTTGAAGCCAGGCATAGCTGTACTCGTACACTAGTAGCATGATGGCGCCCCCTGGGCCGAGCCTCATGATCTTGGGTAGCAGCCCCTTGTACAAGGCCAAGAACCTGCAGGATGAAACACCCCAAAAACATGAGCATCTTTAGAGCTTTGTCTGGTAAAACGAAGAGCAAAATGTTTGTGGACGACACCATGTGATAAGCTGGCCCCATCAAGGCTGACATTCTGGTTACAGGGGAACTGGTCAAAGATAACACATCTCCCTTGATGAGAATGATGCAGATATTATCTGCCCTAAGCTGAAATGTGGCCTCACCGGCGATGGAATGAGAGGCTCTTGGGAAGCTCTTCAATTGGGCTCATGTTTGCTCCCCACACACATGCGAAGTCCGCATATTTCAACATTGGTTGTGCATACTCAGCACGCCCTGCGCCAAATACACATAAACCTGTGTGTTCCGGAGGGTGAGCTCCTGCCAAATAATCGTCAATTCCCTGTAAAAACACGCCCTCTCTTGTTCCCGCTCAGGGTAGATAGGCTTTGCACAGGAATGGTTGATGGTACTACCTGTTTCCACGGACACATCCTAGAGCTCCTAGGCACATGGTCACCTTTCCAAGCTTCACCCGAACATTATGGCCACAATAAACATGGAAGCCTACACGTATAGACCTCTATCATGGGGCAGCCATCTTGTTTTTCTACAATTCAAAGCAATGTAACCAAACTGAGGCTGGAGGCAATAATAGTCTGTTCCCTCTTATCAACATGCGAAGTTGTATTACTATTGTCAATGGGTCTACAGGGAACATGACAAACATGACAGCATCTATGGACGCAAGAAGCTAGTGGCTGCAGCCACTTTCCATAGACGTGTGTTATTCTAAGCCACAGTCAGTTGATTCAGACAGGGTCTTTCATATGCATCTGTGCATCATCAACACCATATGCTTGGGTAGGTTCCTAACACTTGTGGAAGTGAGCAGCTTTTCAGAAAAAATGTGAAGGGGCGGTTTTTATTTTGTACAGTAGAGCACTGGTCTGATGCATACACTTCATTTATAAGTGTGCTTTCCTACATTTCTCAATGGACCACTGGCCCCCACTGGCTTCCTGGAAAAGTGAACATGTGGTATCATCAATACAGAGGCCTCTTACAGGCACAATTCTACTGCCATCACAAGGGGCTTCTCTAATAATACAGTGACATGCCCAGATTTGTCAGCATCTGTGTATGGACAGTGTATTTGGCAAGTGAGATCTATCAAATCATTCCAAACTGTTTTATGATGACCTGTGTTTTCTTTATCTTTTGGTACTTCAACTTTTTCACACTTTCCATTTCCAGATTTCTCAAAAGTTCTTTTTTTTTACATGTCTCCTTACCCTTCTTCTAGATACACCGTCCGTATCGTCCAGAAGCACGTCCTGTACTTGACCTGTCCTGGAACTGGCTGGGGACCCTGGATTCGACTCTTAGCCACATCAAATGGAATGTTGACCGAAGAGGCTATCGTCCCAGCAGCGAGACCAATCATGAACTTGCGAACAAACTCCAACTTTGGGGACTGCAGAAAGACAATAAAAATCTTTACAAATGTCTGGTCTTTGAGGTCTTTGGGGAGAAGATGAAAGTGCAAAGGTGGTAGTGAGTTAATATAGAACATGAATCAGGATTGGACAACCTTTCAACCTGTAGGATCTAGGGACTCACCGAAGCTGAGGGGAAATATTGCTTGATGTTGTGGTAAAAACTGAAGTAGATCATGTTGAAGATACCGTGCCTCCCTAGAGTTGCTGTCAGTCCTCTGAGCATGCCATTGCGTCCGATGCCTTGCTCCCTAACAATTCTCCTTGCTAATGAAAATGCACTGGTTTGCTGCAACAGAACGTAACAAGGTAGGGAGGGTTTAAGGGTGCAGTCTCATTGGTTGGGTGTTTTCATTTCTTTATTCAAAAGGACCCTTCCCCTTTCAAGCTCTGTGGCTATCTGAGGAGCACTGACCACTGACTGGTCATCTTGGTCCACCATGAAGCAGCCAGCCCAGAACCTAACAGTGGTCAAATGGCTTTACTGCATAAAAGTGGGCATTTAACTTTCTACAATTTTTATGGCGTGCTATTATAACAGCTGAGGACAGGCAGTTGTGAAGAACTTACAAATGCCCACAAAGTTAAGACAAAAATAAAACATGAAGGTAATGACCTGCTATTTCAACCAGTGAAAACTGGACGTTAATTTTTTTTAATTGGGCAAAAACAACAATTAACGTTTACCTGTGAAAACTGAAGTTTCTCCGCCTGCAACCGAACCTTGACCACCTCAAATGGGCAGATAATAAAACCTTCTGTCAGGCCAGAGCCCAGACCAGCTAGTGTGAAGGTCTGCACACCCAAAATTGAAACAGTAAATGCAAGACAAAGTATGTTAAGGTCAAAGAGAAAAGACTTTCTGTAACTTCTAGTCCTAGGTTGTAGCTTACAAACTGATGCAACGTTAATTTTTTGTTTGTCTGTTGTACTTGATTTATATCAGAGGCATGCACAGGTAGCTGTTTTTCCAAAACACCATATATAACAGCTTTGAGAGGCCACACAAATTGGGCATCTACTCACATCGCCTAAAGAAAAAAGCTGTTTAAATCCTCAGTGGTAGGATTAAGACTTGATTCAGTAATTTTGAACACTGACACACAGGATCTGAATTTGAAGAGCATGGTCAGGAATATCAGGATCTTTGGCAGGCTACAAGATTTGATCAATGGCAATTTGTTACTTTTGCCCCAACAGACAGACCCTGCAACCAAGAGGGAGAAGTGTAAATTAAAGCTGCAAAAAGACTTTGTATAATGTTTTCAATTTGCAATACAACCAGATGGTCCCAGGAGAAATGCATGTCAGACAAAAGATAGTGTGTAGTTGAGCAGAACTCTGTACTTCTCAGCTGGGTGCCCGAGAAAAATGAATAACCGTTTCTGGTAAGCCAATGCTGCCAGGCAAAGTGTGACATGAAAAAAGATACGGCTCGTTGGCATGGTTTCTGCACGATGAAATTCTACTAACCTACCAATGGAGTGGGGGCAGGAGCACCAAACAGAAATACATGCTTGTACTGCTCAAATGTGAAGAACTTGACGGCTCGCTTGGGCGTTTCTGCCAGGATTGGGGGCAGGATGCCTTTGTAAACTGATAAGGTCCTGCAAGTTAAAAACAGAGAAACAGAGTCCTGTGCATATCTTATATTTGCTTATTTCAAACCACTTCAAAGAGAACGGAGAAAGTTGATTACAGTGGGATTTGAATCGGTGGTCTCTGGATTAGCATGCTGGGCCCATTTTTACTAAAGCACACAGATTTTATGCTAACAGAGGCTCAGTGAATTTCATGGAGATCATAAGCAGTAGGCACAGCAAAAGGTATGCTAAATTCAGAAGACAACTTTAGTATGGTTATGCTAACAGTCAGCAAACTCTTGTGCTACAGTAAGCACAAGTTTTCTGCTGTTAGGTTCAGCTGTTAAACAGCACCATGAAATTAGGCCCTTGTGCTCTGCCAAGTATTCAGCCCTGTACGTGTTCTGTGCACAAGTTCCATTTCATGGGTGGTATACAGAGAGGCTATGTAGGACAGTGCCACTCAGGTAGTCACATCAAGAGCAGGGGGTAAGTTTTAGAGACAAGTACCTGACAACCACTGGTCAATTCCGCCTGGTACCCACACCTGGATGTACTTTTGGTGCATAGGTTACCAGGGAAAATCGACCTGGTGATGAAGAACCAGTCATTGCTCTAGTTTGGCAAAGGGATACTGCTCTTACGCACTGATTGTGAGACTCAGCAAGTTGAGGTTATTTTCAAGCTTTCACACTGGGATTCCTCCTTGGGATTTCTCAACCCCCCCCCCCAAAAAAACCAAAACAACAACTAACTTGCTCAACGCTTTTATGTTCTGTGCTGGTCATGGAATGTTTCCATTCTAAGGTCTGTGAGCTCCTTTCTGGTTGCAAAAGGGAAGTTTGAAATGTAATTGGCCCAAATAGGACACGAGTTTGAATCTGAAACAGTTTACTAATACTTCATGATAAGAACAGAAACCTTTTTAATGAATTGTCTCTAGCATACACACAGACACACACAGCACTTATCCAGGGCACAGTATCATTTCTGGCAGAAAATAGCAACAATTTACAACAGCAGGATCCCACATCTACGGTTCGTTACTCTTCCAAAGTGGGGCTTTACAAACAAATGTACTGACCTTTAAGGGGGGGTCATTTGATCAAAATTTGCACAACACTTCGTACTGCATCATCACTTTTGCAAAACACTCAAGACTTTATTGTGGAGCAATGTTTGCTGAGGGCAACACAAGGTCTCAACCTATACCTATGCTCTCAGACTATCTGAGCCTCTGGGAATCCCTAACATGTGAAGAAGAGTGCAGACATCACTCAGCACTACATACAGTTTCAGCATGAATGTGTTTAGATGTCTCCCTTTCAACACAGGGAATCCCTGTGAGTTAAGATGCCAACCAGTGTACAGTGGATATAATTAAAAGAAAATGGCTTCCAATTGATGTCTACTGATTACAGCTCCTTCCTTGCATCAAAATTGGCAACATGTATTCCAATTAAATACATGTAGGTTTAACATGCAAACATTGTTATCCCTGACCAGGCTGAATGTTCCACAATCCAACAGGTGTATAAATGTATATGGATGCATAATCGACGGAGATAGAAGTGGACCAGAACTACCAATTCTGAGAAAACGGGAGCAAATCCAAATGAACAATAATGGATCCTGTATTGGCCAAAGGATTGCTACCGATTGTCTGTTTCTGGGATCTTGTTGCATGACGCTGGCTTCTCACGAAAAAGTTAGGTGAATTAGTTTTTTTTTGGGGGGGGGGAGGATAGAGTTGGGTATCAGTCTTCACCTACCCTTCTGTGTGGTACATTCTACGGACCACATCAAGCATGGATGTGCCGTACACTTCCCCCTGTGGCCCGCCTTGGATCTGAAATCTGACAGAGAGAATTAAAAAACTGAACACAAGTACATACTGTAGTCGAGGCATGCATTCAAGAGATCAAGAGAAAGACACAGATCTTTTCTTTCTTTCAAGACTGAAAAAAAAGGTGCCAAGACTAACCTACACGTCTGACATCAAGAGTTGTAAGACAAAGACTTCTGAAACTAAAGCCAAGACCAGCATTACAGGTCATTTATAAGACAGATACAATTTTGTGCTCAGTGGAACAAACATTTAACAATTTTGTGGTGGATTAGTAAAATATCTGCACTAGTAAGAATACGAGTACACTCTGAGCAAGGATTGAAGATTTGTAACAAGCCCCCTGGGAACTGGGCACACAGTGAATACAAATACAGGGCAAAGTATAAACACAAAACAAATACTGTATCTACATGTACAATGTACGTGTAAATACAAACCCTTTCCTGGAGAGCTCCAAAACTAATAAGAACTAAATTTCAGGGTTGTTGATTTTTTTACTTTTTTTTTAAAAGTCTAGTTTTTTATTTAAATCAGATTTTAAAAATTTAAATAAGATTTTTTTAAATTTTTATAAAAATTGGAGACAAGTTTGCTCAATTGTCTATTCAAAAGCAAGCAAATTAGCTGCATGTGTAATAGTTTTCTTTTATTTATTTGTTGTTACAATATTAAACAATTACTTGGACAATTTGGATTTGAAAGAAATAAAACAAGTTATTTGATTAAATATTCACAAAGTAACACGACTGAGCCTTGGTGAAATGCATGCAGAATAACACCTACCAGTATACATATACTGGTATGTACCCGTAGAGAACACACTTCCTTCAGAGACAGGTTCATATACCAAGGATAAAGTGTGTACCAGGTTTTAAACCAAATTCTAAGTTTTGACAAAACCAGAGTTCACAAACAAAGCCATTTTGGGGTTTTTTTTTTGCTTTGACAAATTTTTGTCAATTTAGTTTGTGAAATTGTGCCTTACAATGAGAACACTGGATTTAAATTGGAATAATCTGTGCTTTTTTAAAAGATGAACTCACGTTTCTAATTGCATAAATGAATGTGTTTGTACCCTGCCCATAAGCAATCAAGGACAGATGACTACTACCATCTGTTTCCGAGTTCTGGCAGTCCGGTGTCATTAATTAAATGGCAAATATTTACAAATTTTGGCTGTAACCCTAAGCAGCTGGTGAGTAAAACAATTGTACAGAAAGTAAGTGGCTGCTAAGGAAGGGAGTTTTGCTGTAAGTTTAGCTATTGGCCATGGATCATTCTATACATGTAATCTAGAGTTCAATTGTTTGTGTGTCCCTGTCACATCTAAGTCTGACACATGATGCAGTAAGTTTAGAACACATTCTTTCATTTCATCAAATGATTAAAGAGCACCTCTAAGGGAAACACATTTTCTCTGATTTTCTCTGTTCAAATAAATATGGAAGCACCCAAATCGAATGCAGAGTCATTTATCTTCAGAGCTCAACTATAACAAGCATGAAATGGCTTTTTCTGTTCATGCCAAGATGCGAATTCTGAATGTAGATTGCGTCATTCTGAGAAAATAGAGAAAACTAGGGGAACCTTCACCCTGTGTTTGTAGTGGACAAGCCCTGGGCATGCCAAACAATGGCTACATGCATAGTTTGGCATGCACAAGGGTTTATCCACTCCGAACACAGGGTGAGGGTTCCCCTCATTTTCTCTGTTTTCTCTGAATGATGCAATCTACATGTACATGTACATTACATTCAGACTAAGCCTTTTGAGAATTAACTTCGACCCAAATCTGGTACACTGAGTTCTTTAAATTCATGTGAACATAACAACTTGAATTCTCCTTACTAAAACCACTGTTGCTATACTTTGTGATTCGGGGCAAGCTTTTGCTTTATAGTTACACAAGAGACGCCTTGCAACAATAAATTGTTCTCAATGGATAAGAAGGGCACAAAGGAATCAGTCCATTCCAGAAATGGTGGTCGCTATGCAAAATCTTCCCCCGAATCATTAGGTATAGCAACAGTGTCTTTAGTCTGGGGAATTCAAATTGTAATGTTTATGTGCAGTCAGATAACTCAGTGCACCAGATTTTATTCAAATTTAACTCGCAAATGGCTTATTTGCATCTTGGAATGAACAGAAAAAAAGCCCTTTTGAGCTTGTTATAGTTGAGCTCTGAAGACACATGACACTGCATTCGATTTGGATGCTTCCATATTTATTTGAACAGATAAAATAAGTGAAAACATGTTTTCCTTAGATGTGCTCTTTAAGCAATGTAAATTACCCTGCCTAACAAATAAAAATATAGTATAAAGTCAATTCCATTGATATTTCCGTGTCAGTGTTACACATACGTCAGGTGTAACAAGGAGACAAAATGTCACACTTTTGGACCAAAAATTCACAGAATGACCTACCGGTAAGTACATGTATTTCAACTTTGCCTGCTAAAAAGTTGTATTGGTTGGACCTGAAATCATAACAGTTGAAAAGTGACCTTAATACAGGCAAACATCGGGTGTTCCATGCATTGTTAATGACTTCACCAGCAAATCCAATTACCTTGTTTTGATGACATCTAGTGGATGCATTAAGCTGACTTCAACCAGACCTTGGATTAAAAAGTAACAGGTATAAAGACTTATTACAATGAGGAATCTTGCTTACACGTAGGTAGTCGGGGTGCAAGACTTGTGGAGCTCGTATCTGAGCAAGACATTTTTACCAGTATTACAATTACTTTTTTGTCTGCTCCCCATCCATTCCATCGGTGACAAACACAACCGTTTTTCTTTGGTTGGGGGTGGGGGTGATGGGGGAGGGGGAAGTGCCATGCACCAGCCCGTGGCCCTAACCATTTGAAAACTGTTGGTGCATACTCTGCACTGGATGGATGAACCAGCAAGCACACGCACATGATGTGTTGTCTCGACAGAGATTTTTGCTTGGTAAGAGATTTTTGCTTGGTAAGAGCTTCCTACTCACACCAAGGAAGGAAAAAGATTTAGTCCATGCTCACACTCAGCCGCTGTTGCTCACTTGGGGAATTGCCACCTCAGATTCTCATCACTCAGGTCAGACTCAAATCTCGACTCTTTTGACTTGGGACTTGGTTTGACTTGGAAAACAGAACTTATGATTTGACTCGGTGCTTGACTAGAACAAATCTAACTTGTTGACATTACTAAGTTTTGTTGATTAAGAAATAAATACAAGAAAACAATGTATCAATGACATTCTATACATGCGTAAAAGAAACTCTGTATACATGTATTGTTATAATGCTTTATCAAGAGAAACATCTATCCATGTTTTACGATTGTTACGCAGTCAGGTTTGAAGTGATTTGCCAAACACCATTTGAAAGTCATATCATCAATACAGGATGTATGAAGAAGTGTTAGTTCATCAATTATGACATCAGACAGGCTCACCAAAAAAGACTTAGGACTTCACTGGAGGAATAATTCAAATATTGAAAACAAAAATTCCACTCTTGTTATTTTTGCAGATTAGGAATTGCTCAGGTTCAAAATCCAAAATATTGAACTTTTCCATGAATATGATCATCAAATTTTGATGCATTCATAACTTGAGTACATGTAACTGTGGCCTTGGTGCTCATGACAAGGTTTCTGTGACAGCTCATGACAAGATCGCTGTGACAGCTCATGACAAGGTTGCTGTGACAGCTCATGACAAGATTGCTGTGATAGTAGGGTGTAGGATGATTCACTAACAACAGCTAACAACAATACATGATGTCATGGGCATTAGAGCTTCACATGTAGAGTAATTATTCACACTGATGTGGTCCTCATTTTAAAAAAAAATGTACCTGCTGATCCCCCTGCAACGATCTGGCGTCCTGCCTCCTTTAACCTGTCTCCAAGCGTGACAGTTCCCAAGGTGACTTCTTTGGGCATGTTGATACTTGAACACACGATCAAAGTTACTGGAATGGGCTGGTTAATAAAAAATGGAAGACATTTTATCACAGAACAATTTTAATTAAGTGGTAATTGCCATTATCTGCTGAGTTTTAGGGCTAGGCCTAGTACCTGGTCTTAAGGAGTAAGAAGGTGGCTGGCTGGAGTGGGATATAAGGAATTATTTCCAAATTAAGCCAGCATGTGTTGCTGATAGTTTGAACGAAATGAGATTGGTTGCTGTACCCGGTACATGTACATGCTATAACACACTATGACCCAAAACTGCATTAGTTGGGATAGTTGCTACCTGACGAAGTGCACGATGTATTTCGATTGTTTTCGTCAGAAGAATGATAGGGTGGCATGTATGAGTTTTTTCAAGAAATGGTCAGTCACATAAGCCTCATTGCTACTTCCACATGGTACTTCCAGAACTGTAAGGTTTATACAAACCTTAGAGATAGCCATGACATGTACAATCTCCCATAAACACATTTTGGCTGTTTTAATTGTGCCAACTCACCCTTCCATCACAGCTATTTGTGCAACCAAATTTCATACATGCCTTCTTGATGAAGTTAGAAGTCGGATGGTTTACTCACCTTATATCCTCATTAAAATGGTAAAGTTCTTGAGCATTTTGCCCATCCACACTACAGAAAATTAGCAACAAGTACTCTTGATAACTTTAAGCTGTGTGACACACTTATAGCTTGACCAATCGCAACACAGCTCCTATCTTTTCTCCTTTTTCCTATCAATTTGCTTCCATTCCACTGACCAATCACACCTCACCTTTCATTTGGATGGGGTCAGGAAAACAAATGGAAAAGATATGAGGTCTGTTGTGATTGGTCAAGCTATTACACAGCTGACAGTTGAGAGTACTTGCTGCTGAATTTCTGCTCATCCTCAGGTCAACTTGTCCCCTAGTCAAGCCGTCCCCTGTATAGGCCTTAACAGTTAAATAATATTTTCTTTTTTACTTTTCGAGTTTTTACTGGGGTAATTATTTTTTTCTTTTTCTTTTATTGAGATAATTTATTTGATATATTTTATTTCAGTTAGATTAGGCAGGAACTTTTACACACTGGGCAAGACAAGAAGTAACTTTTTGTGTGAATTGATATGACCATGGAGAAATAAAACATGTGCTTTATTTCTCCATGATATGACAGACTGCTGTAAAAATTAAACAAATGAAAATTGTGAATGGGCAGAAGACTCATACCATGGAGGTAGAATTGTGATTCTACCTCCATGCTCATAATCATGAGTCTGTCTGCCTGTCTTGTTTTCCATTCTCTTCTACGTACGATTGATCACAGGGGAATATGAACCTAAAAAGAAACTTACCCACATAGATATGTACTTGACACACAACTACGGGGGACGACTCGACCCGTTTCCTCCCACCCATAGCGTTACGAACCCATAATAAAATCGCTGGGCCAGCGCCACTGCACGGAGTAACGTTAGCAGGGAGTTATGTTAGCAGGCAGTGACTTGCAATTCTGTCACAGTGACACAGATATCCTAACTGAAACCAGTCAGAACATACCTTCTACTCCAAGAAGTACAGCACAGGAACAATATGCGCGAAAAAATAATAATGTCAGCAACTCTTGGTCTACCCTATCTTCGTACAAACAGGATTCACTCGTACACAGAACCTGTTTCAACTATACCGGGACTTCGGACCCGAATGTGCCGCCAAGCAGCTTGCACACACATGTACGTGTGTGACGTGTGGGAGGTACATGATCTCCGACCTCCATCCTACATGTCATAAAGATATATGGAGATAAATAGGGAGGTGGCAGTCGCTAACGTTGTATTGCTGATTGGGACGGGGACCAGTCTATCTAGGGGAGGTGAACCTGATGATAAACTCGTGAACCCATCGTGTCCGCACGTTGCATGCCCCAGGTGTAGTCTCCTTCAAAGACTTCGTTTGGTTGATGTGTTCAACTTGCACTGGTGGCCAAATTCGAGCGACGACTGTAGACCAGTGGTCGAGTTTCCCTGGAAAACGACCCACAGTTGAATTTACGAATTTATCGTCGCACCAACCTGCCCAAATAAAAAAAAGGGCGCACCGGCTGTAAAGACGCTGCTAAACTTTAAATTTCCAGCCCGGTAGGCTGGGGGGGGGGTTCGAATGAACCCCCTACCGGCTCGCGTCCGAGTGCTGCTTGTTGGTGTTTTGTTTTGTTTGTGTGTGCTGTAATTTTCGGAATATAAACCGCCGTTTATACATCGAGTCTCAGGTGGAAAATGTCTCTGCGGTTTATAATGATGAACTGTGGGCGGTTTATACGGCAACATTTAAGGAATGAACCCGGACGTACCGCCGACGCGCGCGCCGCTCTCCGGAGCGCCCAGTGTTTTCATTAAACCTAAACTTTCTCGAGTCCTCGAAATTATTTTAGTGTCCATGCCGGGTGAGCCATGCAGCAATTCTTTTTAAGACCAGTAAAATGATGAACAACATGGACTACACAACCGTAAAAGACAAAACGAACAGACATACCACACAATTTGTGAGGTGTGAATTTTCTGATATTATTATTTTATTATAAACGTTACTTACGGTGCATTTAAAAGTCTATTCAGCCTTTCTGGACTGGTTTCCTTCTTTTCCAACATGTGAGTAGAGCCAATGGAAACGCCGGGCAACCAATGAAAACATGACTACCTTGTCCCCGCGCCCGGAACGCTGCGCCGCGCCGCTGGTACGCGTGGCCGGCCACGGCGGACCCCATGGGCACTTCGAATTTTCGCTTCGATCGTACGTTTGGGTATGGAGCAATATTTTACCTCCAATTTCACTAAAGGTGAAATTTAATCAAACTTCAAATATTCTGATTCATAAATGTCGATTTCATATAACCGCTACAAAGTTAATTTGGTCCGATTTTCCGATTTTTTTTCCGAAGTGCAAATGAAATGCGCCTCATTTTTTTAAACATTTTTAGATAGGTGAGTGGAGGTAATAATGATTTACTAGAATTTATGACGTTTTTAGAAATTCTGAAATTTTTTGTGGGGTTTCTGAGATTATTTAATAATTATGTTCCTATCATTCACTGGTCACCCAGTGCCAGATTTAAGGTGCTGAGTGAAGAGCAAATTCACATACCAGGCCAATGAATATTGAAAACTGAAGTAGGGAGCCTATGCAAGTCTACCATGCATCCTTCGGTTCGCGATAAACGTGGAACTTGTTGATTTTGTGTTCCAAACCACATTATGATTGGCATTTGTATAAAAATATGTGTTCACAGTGGCAAAAGTTCCACTTTTGGGTTTGACGAACTCCCCTCCCCCGCAGTCTCTGGTCACGCAACGGGCCTGATTTCCAAAATTCATTATTTCCCTCAGAGTGCTCACGAACCTGTTTATTGGTACCCTTTCAGCGGCAAAGAAGAGAAAGGCTAGGCCGTGGTCCGAATTGCAAAAATAGTACATGTAGTACATGGACTCGACTTCCTCGGATACATAACTATCAAAATACCGCCGCGAAGAAAAAGGGGGGGGGAGGAGACACAAAAAACGAGGAACGCAGGTTCAAGAGTCCCCTTGTTGTGATTTTTAATGCTCGTGTTTTCATTCTTTAATCGAGAAACAAGCGTCCAAACAAATTTGAAACAGGATATGTAAACGTTGCTGAAAACAGGTTGTGTGACCCGTTCCCTTTTAGTTTCAGTTATCGATATAATTCTTATAATGTCAGGAAAGAAATTGACTATCTGTTCAGTAAATGAGATACGTGTAGGCTACACTTATCAAGAACGTATATACTCGTTTACTCAAAATGTAGTCGCCCCAATTTTCCTTGTATTAGGACAGCACAAAGTATGGAGCGTCAAAAGTGGACAACCCCATTTTCTCTTTTTCTGCACGAAGATTTTCGGGATTTTGGACTTTGCGTAAAGCATTTTCAAAAAACCCAATTTTTCGCTGGAGAAATTTGGATTTTACTTTAACAACTCTTCGTGGTGCGTCAAAAGTGGACAACTAAAAACTTCAAATTCCCACTGGCAAAATTACTGTCATGCTCCAAAAGTGGACAACCCCATTTTCTGCTAGTATATTTTCAGGTTTTGGGAAATCGCGTAAAGCATTTTCAAAAACTCAATATTTTGCTAGCAAAAATAGGGATTTTAATGTAAGAAGTCTTCATAGCGCAGAAGTTTGGGTTTTACTGTGACGACAGCGGGGTGGTCCAAAAGTGGACAAATTGAAAACTGAAAAGACCTTAGCGCTCCCTACGCTCAGAATGGAACGGTCTTGAGAAGGTGGCCATGGGCAGTCTGACCATGGTCTGACGGATGGCGTCTCAGGTCGGAAAAAATTCGATTCCTATTTAGAGACTTATAGGAAATATAAAGAGCAAAAAGGAAAGCGGCCACCGAAAGCCTGACATTGCATTCCTTTATGGTTCCGTAAACTTCCAATTTCTCAGCGCACCGTGTAGTTAGAAAGATGGCGGCGGCTTGCCGTCGAACATTTCCGTTTTGAATAAATGAGTATATGATGATATGTGTCTCCTAAACGATGATAGCTGTAACAAACCATTTTGTGCTTGTCCAATGTTTTAATTAAATTTGCTGTGGAACGAAAAAAGGTTTGAATGGAAAAAAGTCATGTTAAGAGAAAAAGCTAAGTGCTGTTTAATCAAGTGAAGCAAAGAGTTTCAAAATGGGGAAAATAGAGAAAGTAAAAATGGTAAATATTAAAATGCAATTTGAACTTCCTGAATTAATTTTGACATCCCACAAATTCCAAAACACGTATTCAGCCAATAATTATTTCCAATCACAAAAAGGATAGCCACGACGAAAATAAATCTTTCGGCCATTATACCAATCGGTCACTGATTTTTCATCAAAGATTTAATTTAATATTTATCGTTAATCTTTATTCAAGTCATCAATACAAGTGGGTAGTTATAGTGGAGGCCTGGGTCATTAATATGAAGACAAATGATTCAAAGTGACAATGATTGAGATATTAACGCAATGAAAAAAACACAAACATGTGAGTGACAGCCAAGAGCAGTCATCAGATACATGTACGTGTACTGTGAAATGCATGGATGATGGATTACATCATACATGTAAATCTTATATCTGAATTTAAAAAAATGGTTGTTCACTTTTGGCACACCGAGTAACTTCCACCATAATTAGTTCATAATTTTCGTCAATATTGGACAAAGTATTTTCACTAATTTCCTTTAGAATAATACTTTCCACTGTACATCCCAAAAAATTCACATCCTTCGGCTAAAAATCGGCTAAAAGGAAATACAAGTTGCATCAAAAGGCCAATCCAAGCAAGGGAATGTCCAAATGACGCCTGATGCTTGTCAACCAACGTTGGGTCAATAAAATGGGCTGGCTCCTCAAGTTAGCCGCTTTGCAACTTTCGTCCACATTTTTTATTTCTAGTTTATTTATTTATTTATTGGGTACGGGTGATGCCAATCTTCCTAATATAAGACTGTTCCATTTCAACATATTGGGAGAAAATTTCCTTTCAATTTCCAACTTGTCCACTTTTGGATCACCCCGCCGTTGTCAAAGTAAAATCCAAATTTCTGCAAGTAAAAAATTGGGTTTTTTGAAAAGGGATGGTGCAACTTCGAAAAACCTAAAATCTATTGGCAGAAAGTGAGAAAATAAGGTTGTCCTCTTTGGGAACATCAAGCAAAATTTGCTAGCGGAAATTTGAAGTTTTTAGCTGTCTACTTTTGACGCGCTACGAAGAATTCTTCAGGTAAAATCCCAATTTTTGTTAGCAGAAAAGTGAGTTTTGAAAATTCTTCAAGCAAATTTTAAAAACCCGAAAATCTACAAGCAGAAAAGGAGAAAATGGGGTTGTCCACTTTTGGAGCATGGCAGTAATTTTGACTGTGGGAATTTGAAGTTTTTAGTTGTCTACTTTTGACGCACCACGAGAGTTGTTAAAGTAAAATCCAAATTTGTTCCAGTGGAAAATTGCGTTTTTTGAAAATGCTTTTCGCAAAGTCCAAAATCCCGAAAATCTTCTTTCAGAAAATGAGAAAATGGGGATTGTCCACTTTTGACGCTCCATACACAACGGCACCAATACGACATATGCATGTCTGGATCTCTTGTCGGCCATGGAGCCGACCTCACATCTTCCTGCATGCACGGTATGCCTCCATGCTTGCAGTGCATTCCCAGCTATTGGGGCCAATTCCACTTGTCTCCTAGTTTCTCTTGCAAACTCTCCCTGAAACCGAGGTGGGGTCGCGTAGCTGGCCATTCAGGAAGATCCTTTGGACTGAATTCCCGAGTTCAGGTACCCTCCCGATATTGCCAGACCATCTTAGACGTCTCTGACTGGGGATATCATGAAGTTAAAGCATCTATCCACTTACTTAAGCCAATCAAATAATATTCATAATAGCTGGCCAGTGGGCGGTGGCACCAAAAAGCGTTATTTAGTGCGTTTCATCAATTTCTAATTTTTTGTTTTTAAGTTTAAAGCCTAAACATTACACTACTGTTTCTGAGTGGGAGTTCCGTCTCCCTAAATGCAAAAAAAACGCTCTTATGAGATCAGTGGTTATAATTGGTCATTGTAGTATTAATTTTAGGCGTGTGTAATGTGTAGTTGGGAAATGGTACCGTATTTAACTGAGCAGCAGGGAAATCCACGCATCTATTTTCTGTGTTGCTGGAATACTTATGGTTTTATAGACCACTGTCACAAGTTGTCTACAACTTGAATGGGCAGCCAAAGTTTGAATAAATATCACTTTCTGGTTGGTTTTCGATTTTACCTCCATTCGCTCAAAATGGGCATTTGTCCCATTGATCTCATATGCATGGGGCTTTTTATTATGTGCGTATTATTATCTGGTGTTCCGATTGCTGTGTGGGATTCTTAACACTTTTTAATTATTCCTTCACTTTTGTACCGACGGCCAACCATAGTTTAGCAGCCACTTGTGGGAAACTCGACTGTGACGTCGAAGAGCGGACCTTATTTTGATAACGTGTGAGATAAAATGTCCTTTTCCCGTTCTCTATTCATTTCTCAGTTTCCTTTTCTCAAGTGAAAGTGTTAGTCTTCAAGGGCCTTACCTTTTGTGCCGTTGTATCACAGCCGCCATGTTTCCCCCAACAGCGCAGCTGCGGGAACGCAGCGGCAGAATGCACGGCTAACGGACAATAAACTAAAAAATCTAAGACTTTGAAATCAAGTGATAACAAGCACTGAGTAATATGTGACAAAGGTATATCCAAAGTGGCTAGCTTGTTATCTTCCTTCTTATTCTGTAAATGAATCTTAAGAGGAAAAAAAAAACATAATCTGGGGGGCAACAGGTAAAACAAAACCCTGGCTATACGCACCTTACATAGCACGTGTCAAAAAAAATCACTGGAGAGTTTCTTTCAATTTAGCCCTAGTAAACCTGTTGCTACAGTGTACAATGGAATATTCCCTCATGAAATAAGTTTAACAACCCCCAAAATGCATTTTGGTGAACAAAAATATTTTCAGCATATGCTGTAAACAGGCTTAATTATTGCAGTGGGATATGGAAATCTTACGGTTACAGAATTAAGTCCTTTGATTCTGCATGGTAGGCTGCTTGTAAGGCAGTTTCACATTTTTGGAAATACACCCCCTTGTTATTTTCAGTAAATATCGCAAAAAAGTCAAAGAATTAGATTTTTTAAAATTTAGTCGGGAAACTTGGTTCAACAGAAGTTCCTGAAATTTTGAAAAATAAATTTGAAAATATTCAGAATTTTTTTTGCAGAATTTCCTGAAATAAAAACGAAAATCCACAGTTCCAAGAAAAAATCACATTCTTCAATAATGCTACCGGTATAAATATGAAATATCTATCTATGTTCTGGATCCATACGAAAAGCTAAACATAAGGCTGCGAATTTCTTCCACATGCGCGCACTTGCAGAATACTGATTAACTGCGTCCCAGCCTGCACGCGTCCTTTCAGCCTGCAAAAAAGCCGCCTCACCCTCAATAACGTTTAAAAATCTCAGGCCTTACGACTGGAACCAATTGTTCTACTGTATTTATTGATGGCAGTACAAATTTTTATAAATGTCGCTAGAAAGGTTTATTGATTTCAACTTACAAGATATTACTCAAAAGATCATCTCACCGTTTGGAGTTCAGTGTTTTCTTTTGGAAAATTTACAATTTGGACAGTTTGGGGGGGGGGCTGTTATACTTCCTGTACGTTTAGGCGTATGGATGCTGTGCAAATTGTAACTCTACCCAGTGTCGACAGTTTGTATCTTCCGATACCAAACAACTATTCGATAATACAAAAAAAAACTTTTCTCTGCAGTTCTACCGCCATGATATGGCAAAAGGAAAAAAAAATAACTGAACATTTTGGACAGAAGTATTTAAATCAAAACTGTTGAATGATAGTCATTTCATTTTCCGAAGATGTCAGACAGATTTTCCATTTCTGTGGGAACCTCATTGGTATCGCTTCTTCATTGATATCGACTCTCAGTGGGTTTTTATCGATCGATTCACTCGGTCAACAAACAAGAATTCAAGATGGCGGAAATAGAGCGTCGGTTTCTGGGCAGCGGTCGATCTAGGCAGCGTTCACCGTATTGTGATCCTTACGGAGGAGGCGATGAAGAGAGAATGTTGATGGAAGACATGCACCATACTGTGAGCCAGACAAAAGACAAGATTGGGAGCTTACGACAGGCTTTAGCAGAAAAGTAAGGGTCTTGCCGTAAAGTACTAGTGGTACCTTGCTAAAACTTGACGTTTTGAACAGTAAACTTTCACCATCAATCATGACCATCATCATGTCTGTAATCAACATGGCGATGATGGTAACGGTCAATGTATGCCATGGCCGCCGTGTGTCCACCATGGCACGGTGTCTTGATAGAGTTGACACATGCAACTTGCAAGTTAAGCACATTAAACCTACGGTAGTTTGGTTTTCTTTGCAGCAGGTGGGCCGGAGCTAGCCCCACTAGTGTGGCGCGGACTCTCACTCCCGATCCATCCTTAGCCACACATCCGTATGCGCAATTTCGTGTCGGCGTATTGAACATTTCGGCACACCCACTTATCATCGTGGGCGCAATTTCTTTTGCACACGAACATGATCCTTGACCTTTCCGTTTTCTAAAAACCATTTATTGAATGATTTCACTCACCAGTCTTTTTCCAGTCTTTTTGCTTTTATCCATTCAATCTAACGGGCTTGCTCTCACAGTCGCCATCCTTAAAATAACGTCGTTGAACATTACGTCCCTTGACCCCTCATCGTCTCGGCGGCTCTTCCATGTCAGGACATCTAAACTGCTGCCAAAGTTTTGGAAGAGTCCATTGGTACACGTAGTATCTTATCGCTCAGTCCGTTTATTACTGAGATATCTTGACATGGAACAGCCGTCGAGACGATGAGGGGTCAAGTGACGTATTGTTAAACGATCTTATTTTTAAGATGCCGACTGTGAGAGCGAGCCCATTAGATTGAATGGATAAAAGCAAAAAGACTGGAAAATACCTGAATAACGTGAGTGAAATCATTCAATAAATGGTTTTTAGAAAATGGAAAGGTCAAGGATCATGTTTGTGTGCAAAAGAAATTGCGCCCATGATGATAAGTGGGTGCGCCGAAATGTTCAATACGCCGACACGAAGCTGCATATATACGGATGTGCGGCTAAGGATGGATCGGGAGTGAGAGTCTGTGCCACACTAGTGGGGCTAGGCCGGAGCAGGCATGGTAGGTGGCTGTGCATGTGTAAGGGGCAGTCTGTCACCATGCATTTTGTGCATGTACAAGTACGCGTACTTGACGATCGACCGTACATGTATCGCTAACGAATTGTGACAAAGTGTCGAGTTTTGCAAAATTTCCTGCAAAATACGTTGTCCGCGGGCGTATTTAGTAATTTCAACACAGCATTTATGGAATTTGGAAACGAGGCACTTGTCATGCTTGTGAATGACATTTAAACTGACTTTGCTAGGTAAAAATGTGAGAAAAACCCTGGACTTTTATACCCTGGACATTAGTAGCAATGCAATGTAGACAATGTCCAACATGGGTGAGTTTAGGGCCTATTGTGTTACATGTAGTATGAACTTGGACTGTACATTACAAATTCCCTTTTTTTAACATTTTGACATGGTCAGGCAATGGTAGAACCTTCCGTAGGCTTTCCTTCCCATTAATTCATTTTACTAAAAAAAAATTCAAAATAGCTTGTACCCTGTATCAAAAACCTCCGAGTTCACCTCCAAAATGGTCTCTAAACTGTCTAATGCATGCGGTTAGTTTGAGGTCACTAAGGTCACTACTCCGTCATACCCCAAGTGATTTTGAGCCAATATAATTTACATGGTGTCGTAACGCTATGGGTTTTTGGAATGTAACTCGATAGGTGAATGATTCACAGGTGGAACAAAGCTATTAAATCAAATTTTTCCCTGACAACAAACCTGAGTAACCTATAACTCTTAAAAGGTGAACAAGATTTCTACAGAAGGTCCATTACGACACCATGTAAACTGTATTTGCTTGAAGTCACAATGAGAATGACGGAGTAGTGTCTTTGAGTTCTCGAAGTACGTCCGGTTTAGGATAAAGCGAGAATCAGAGATTCTAATAATGATGGTAAGGTTTCCTCACATTTGTGAAGAAAAAGAAATTTCTTCTGTAACTTGGAAATGCTCGAAGCTCGAAGTTACCATCTTTTTCAAATAGAGATTTAAACTGTATGGTAATGTTTTGTAGCTAACGACTGATTCCTGAGCGCTGCAGTGTCCAGTGTCCAGTTTCAATGTGATCACAGCTACAAGACATTGTGGCGCTCAGGAATCTGTCATCGTCGCATGTGTGCCTACACAGCATGCTTTTTGTGAATGGTCTGCTAGGCTGACATGCCTTGGCATCGTCTCCGGGAGAGGTAGATACCTACATTACAAACGGGGCCCAAATCTACAAGCATTGCTTTCATTGGGTATTCCTCTACAACATCCTTTCTGAAGTGTATTGTAGTATCATTCAATCATATTTATGTATTTATTAAAAGTTCTATTATCGTGTGTGATTATTATGCTGTAGAAAATGAAATAAATCTTGAAATCTTACATGTAAGTAAAATGTCTGGATTTTGCCAAAATAGCTGGTTATACAGTCCAAAAACCATCAAGCATATGTATTAATGAGATATATATTCATGTATATTATTTAGTTTAGTGTAGACGGCTTTTGTGGGCATGATTTGATTGACAAAGTGTAGTTTTAGGTACAGTCAATCGGCATAGCATCTCAAACCAATAAAAATTTGGAACTTGTACATGTGGGTACACAGAGTGTGCCTCACAGTACTGTAAACACGACTTCCAAATGGGCTAAAATTGCTCAATTATCACCATGATTACCGTCTCTGACATGTCTGTTCATTACCAATCTATGTACAGTTTCAATTTCCACCCATACAGTGTAAGTGTGCTGCTGCATACCTCAGTTGTAATGTGTGCTATTCTACATGTACAAGCTCATTGATTGTGCCGGGTTCAAGTTACTCCATTGGCCTCCCCCCATTGTTTTCCCTTTCTTTATTTTCTCAATAAGATAATAGGTAAATAGGATAATAGGTTTTCCCTTTTTTGGTAGTAGATATGTACCCCTGGAGGATTTCTTGAAGGGAAATAGCTCAGTCCAAGATCCATTCATTGTAGACTGGTCTAGGTCCTGTTTCCAATGTACCATCCTGGTGCAACAAAAGTAGACAGCAACCTGTCTAAACTTCTGTAATGTTAGCCACTGTGTTAATTTATTGGCCAGTCGGCACGATTGCCCAATCACTTGTGACAATCACTCCAACTTTACTTTCCTTTTTTATAGCAAAGCTCCACAACATGTTAAGTAATCAATAGTTTGTAATCATTTTTTGTTATTTGGTTTGATTTTCGATCAGTGAACAAACACGACACGTGTTGCTGTTTTACACTGCGTGGTTGATGTGGGGAACTCAGAATTTCGGCTTACATGTACATGCGTTTCCAAACACCATTGTTTTGACTATCAGAATAATCAACGTTACTAAAAACTCCACACATAATTTTTATAGGGCATTGAGCATCAAACTCATCAACAGAGAAACCATGTGGGGACAGTTAACTTGAGATGCATCTCGTTGGGGGTTCCCCCAATGAAGAATCTTTCTTGTACATGTAGTTGATGTTAAACAACATACATGTGATTGAGAGTGGGGTACCAGGCCAAGGTAGTTCCTCCTTTGCAAAGGGCACTCATACATGTATTACAAAATCAGCTTGTCTATTTGAACATTTCAACCAAAGGCTGGGGCATCAAGGCAATTTTTTCCATGAAATTCTTACCCTGCCGTCCAAGGAGGTACATGTAATTTATTTCATAAAATAGGATGGAGTCAATTTGGATCATTCATGACATGTATTTGAATATTCAACCTTCAATTTGATGGAATATTCGGTCGTACTGACCAGCAGATTGTTGAACAAACCATATACAAAATAAGTTGCAGTTATGCACACAATTGTACATTATGATCAATATAATAGCTTCTCATGTGTAGGAGTATCTCCAGCCAGGATTTAGCAAGATTCAAGAGACGAACAAGACTTCTTGCCCTGTTAAAAATTTCTATTCCTTTTAAATTGTTTAATGAATAATTGACTTTTTAAATCATTGTAAGATTTCTTACACTTTTCATTTGAATCTGCTTGAAACAAGCCTCCATGGTGCAATTTTCTCATTTAAAACAAAAGAAAATTTTCCCTTCCTTTTCATGAATTTCACATTCAAATATTCAAATACGAAAATAATATTTGAATATTCGACAGTCGATCGAATAATCGGTTATTTGGATATTCGGCATAGCCCTATCATAAAACCTCTTTTTTGCAAGGTGTCTGTAGATAGTTCTCTTGTTCTAATTTTTTTTTTTTTACCTCGAGGGAGGTTTGGTTAGGCAGAGGGGAGTGTGTGGAAAGGGTAACTAGACTTACAATGTACTCGGTTGTTCCCAGAAATTCTTGAGATCTTTTTTTGCCTCAGAGCTGAAAAGAAGGGTCAGTTGAAAATGAGAACCATAGAATTAACTATGGACGCTTTAATATGCCAAAAAGAACATTTCATATCTGATGAGCATCTGATTTGTCATCTAAAATGATATTATCTTTATGTTTGATCTAGAAATCAAGTGATCAGAAGGGAGCGTGCCCTGCGGAAAGCCGCAGAGCGTCGCGAGCTTGACAAATCTACTGAGGCTTCCTTCATTGATATGTATGCCGGCTCCAATCCATCCGTCAATGAAGAGCTGAAAGACTGGCTGTCACCTGCTAAGCAGAGAGATCGCATACTGAGGGGTAAGAACTTGCCTGTATGAATAGTCACTGGCCCTCTGCTATATTTTCAGTTTACCATCATCTGGTCTGATAATTCCATAGTTATCAGGACTGGAGATTTATTTATCAGTTATTCCACTTAGTGGCAAATTTGATCTCATCTTTTTTCTCATCTTAATTTCGTGCTAATGAAATGGGTGTGTATTAGTACATGTAGATGATTTTAGAAATGAAAGGACAGGCAGTGAAATGTATGGACAGGCAGGGTATGACACAAGTTGCAAATCAAGGTATACTTTCAACAGAATCGATTGGAAACACCAACTAATGCATGCATAAATTTCCACAGACTTGTGTTTACTTCAGATTGGTGCCAATTTCAGATCTAAATATAGCTTACAGTTGAATAAACAAATTTGAAAATGATAAACTCCCTTTAAATCTTGTTGGGTTGTTTTCAAGATGGTAAACCGCACCCTAAAGAGAGAGACCTCCAGGAAAAAGCAGAATCGGCCAAGCGGTCCCCCTCAGAAAACAAAGGGGTCGACCAGACAGATGCCGCTACAAGGGATGACCTGAGCGTGACCTCTGACGAAGGGATGAGAATGGATGAGAGTGAGGACGGAAGGGAGAGGCAGGGACGACGATTCCGGAAGCCCAGGAGAAGAAGTAAGACCACTTAAGATGTCTGAGTTGAGAGCAGTTTAAGCTTTGTTGTGCCTCCTATGATGCCGTTGACGGTAGACCAAAGCTGGCGTGGAACGTACTGGGGGACTTACATTGTACAAATGTCAAGCGTCAAACATCAGCTACATTTAATGCTAATTTTGAATGCAAAACATTAGCAGGGAGCATGAAGTATTATGTGATATCCCTTTGCACATTGAGTATTCCATCACATAGGCAGTGTATACATGTCAATTGACTTGAATTGAGTATTCCATCCCATAGGCAGTGTACATACATGTCAATTGACTTGAATTGAGTATTCCATCCCATAGGCAGTGTATACATGTCAATTGACTTGAATTGAGTATTCCATCCCATAGGCAGTGTATACATGTCAATTGACTTGAATCGAGTATTCCATCCCATAGGCAGTGTATACATGTCAATTGACTTGAACTCTCACCCTGATTTGTCCTAAATCTATCTGCCAATTTTGTGTAAGTGATGTCAAAGTGTTGGATGTTGAGAGTTCTTTTATAGCAAAATAAGAATCGGGGAGGGGATTCTAGAGTGAGCCAAAGGCCCAAAATGGGCCAATATTATGGGCCTCTTGAAAGTTTCACTTCAAAGATAATTTTGGAAAGATAATCTTTTTTTGCAGATTATTGAAGTTTTGATGTGGCCACATACTGCAGTGATAATTTGGGACATTTTGGCACTGTTTCTACTCTAATGAATTCAAGGACAGAAAAAAAGCCTCTTGTCCCATATCAGAAAGCTTAAAGATGTTTAAGATGCCGCACTTGTGCTTCATTTCATAAAAATGTTAAGAAGTCCTTACCTGGCAAGACAAGCTCACTTGAAAACAATTTAGTTGCATTCACTTCAGAGACATTGAATGAAGTGGTCTCTTTTTTCCGTCCAGCTCGTGACGATTACTACCTAGACAGCCGTCCTGACTGGAACCCTAACTTCACCATGCCCCCTGCCCATGGCACCTGGTACCCTCCTGTGATGGGCCACTACTCGGTGCCACCCAACCCGTGGGTCAGCCCGCACCGCGTGATGGTACCCCCCGACCAGGCTGGGCAGTGGCACTCAGTGGGGCCCAGCTATGGTCAGTTTGCCCACAGTGAGCCCAATCTAGCCAGCGGGCCGCCCCCGCTGGTCCGCAGACACAGCGATGTCGGGCAGGCTGCACCCAAGTTGATGGAGACTTCTACCCCAGAAACAAGGAACACATCCAAAGAGATTGAAGGTCAGTATTGACACTGTTACTTCACGTTGAGGTTGTCTTTGGCACAGTTTTCTTTTGGCTGAAAATCCTAACTTCTTGAAATGACAAGATACCGTAATGACAGTCCGGTACAAGATGGACTCACCCCAGGTGATCATCTGTCTAAGATTTGTGCAACATTTCCTACTTCATTGTTGCTTTTTTGAAAATCCAATACCATAACGCAGAGTGATATTTGCTACAGCAACCAAGGCACATTGACTGTTAAGGGTTCTACACACCTCAACCACTATGGACTAGCGTGAGCTGATGTGTGCACAAAGACAATGAGAATCGCTTAAATTTAAAGGAGGGAAGTGATGATTGGGCACTTCTGAATTATACTTGTCTTTTTACATTTCGTTATCTTCCCTCAAGCAACTGTTTCTGGGAATCCTTTTAAGGAAAATTATGTTGACCCAAGGGATTGTTGCAGGACGAAGGTAGATAACGTGTGTGGCTCACATCTAATTGCCCTTTCTGGTTTGAATTCATTAGCAGTCTCAAGCGTGTTGAATTCCTGTCTGCAGCCAGACCATGTCATGCATCTTCAAGCATTAATATCAAAACTGAAATAACAGTATCTGGGTTGTTTCTTTGTCTCGGTGCCTTGTCAAGTACACACCTACCATAATGTGAAAAGAGTACTGAGCTTGACCATCAGTGATTCACCACTAAAATCTTGTAGTCATTTCAGCTGTTTATGTGGGTGTGTTGCAGATGATTCATGCTTGGCTAAGAGTAAACAGGAGTACGACATTATGACTTCAGATCAAATACTTGAGCTGTGGTTTCTCAAAAGTTACACCCTTCATCTCATGCAAAATTTGCAGCTTATGTTTTGTGACGTCAAATCTCCTTCATTTTCGTGTTGGGCTGAAGTGTGAACCGGCCTTAAGTCAAAGTCAGCCCCAGTAAGTAACCGGATATTTGTGTGTGTGTGTGTGTGAATCAGATAAGTCCAAGTTGTCACCAGGTGCTACTGCCAACCAGCTTGGGCCGCAGGTGACCAGCACGCCCATCAGGGTAGTGGTCGACAGGGGAACGAGTGCCAAGATGGACTTTGAGGAGGGCGTGCCCATGCTGTTGTCAGAGCTAGGGTCAACCAGAGATGTCAACAAAGAGGTGAATGCACTGCGATGATTTGGAACAGGCTTGGCACAGGCAGGATTGGAATTTGGAAATCATCTGAAATGGACTAATTTTACACAAAAGTGCTTCACAGGTTTCCCATATTTGAAATGCAGATGAAAGCTTTTGTTGTGTGGTGTCATCTTTTATGGATAAAATCATAATTTTTGTTGGATTTCATTGCTGAGTAGTACCTAGAGTTGGCATATTTTGCACCCAAATGCATGATTTCTTCTTTTGGGTTTTTTTAAGATTAAGTATTACTATCTTTTTGGTAATGAAACAAAGCTTCCTGGAAAGGGCCCATAAGGTTGTAAACCGGAAGAAACCTGTGGGAGAGGATGAATGAAGAAATGTTCATTGTTAAAGTTGGCAAGACGTTTTTATTCCAGATAAGAATTCTAGAGCCTGCATACCTGATCCATACATGTATGTCGACGTGAGTGGGATTTGAATCCAGGTCATTGAGTTGGAAGGCAAAGAAATACCATTATGCCAAGCGAAGTGATTACAGTTTTGTGACACTACATTTCTTTTGTAGCTAGTCACAAGTTTACCAAGACTAAGACCAGTTTCTGGTATGTCCCCACTTACAGTTGCAGGAGAGACTTCTAGAGACAGAGCAGGAGATTGAGTCCATGCGGCTGTCTCAGAGCCTGACGGAGGCAACACTGGAGGCTCGGGTAGCTGCTAGAGCTGCTGGTATGTCTATCAGTTTAGTAGCAGTCTCAGAAATACTGCCGATGCCAGCGTTATTCTCAGACATGAGATACTCAGAATGTAGAAACTGCACATCCTTCTCAATAACAACAGTTCGTTGTGTGCCAGGCAAAAGCACGCTGACACCCTTTTGCTGGGAAGCATGAACACAGCAGAAAAATGTTTCCGGCAAAAGGGCATAAGAAATACACTCTCTCTTAGTAAAAACGGATAAAATTTACAACAAAACCAACACAGGCTGTACAAAAAGTAACCTTTGAACAACTTATCTAACGACTTGGGAAATTTATTTTAAATTGTTTGCAAAGAAATCTTTATATTTCATTAAAATGACACAGTTGCATACATACATCCTTTTGCCGGGAAAAGTTTTTTTACAGTGATCATGCTTCCCAGCAAAGGGGCGTAAGTGCTTACGCCTTTCTGCCAGGCACAAGACAAGTTGTGATCAATCGTCATTGTATAACTTAATTATTTGTCAAGATGGAAGGATCAACAATGCCCACAGAAATCTTAAGAATGTTAGTTTTCTTGAAGGATCCTCAAGTGCAGTGACCCCTAGCTATGGCATGGATGTAGAGACTTCTATTGTGAGACCAAGCTGGGAAGAATCAATTCAAGTCAACATCTGTGGGTTTTTGATGTGGTCATTTGTTATTCACAATTTCACTCCTGTGCATTGAATACATGCTTCTGGGAAAAATAATTTTTGGGGGGCAGACAGGTATGTCTTGTGGTCATAAAATCGGTGCTAAAATGACCCAAAGGCCCGGCCAAAAAACATTGTGACAATATCAAAAGTATGTACATGGTGTGAATTTTTTTAGGGTTGAGGAATAACTAAGGGAATAAATACATGTATGTGCTTGGCTGGTCTTAAACGTATCTTTAAGACCGGCTCAGGAGAATGGATGCCACTAATTGGGGCTCCAGCATTATCGGGATGTGTTCTGTGTAGTGCTGCAAGTAGGTGCCAAGGTTTGGGTTCGGTTCGGACAGGGTTCCGAAATTTTTTGACAAACTTTGGTTCGGTTGGGTTCGGACACGTACACATAAAGTATATTGAGACGTCGAAGAGCACTCTACGAATGAATGTGCCATATGTAGTACTTCCGTGTGTAAAATACGTTAGTAGAAGCAACGAATCTCCTCTTCATCCCCATCCACAAGCAACTTCTTCGTGAACACAATTTTTTTCTAAAATGTATCTTCAAAGTTTGTTTAGGAGTAAAACTTCCATAGAAAGTTATCATTGGAGGTGCAACAGTTTCTGACCGTGTTTTGCCGACAAAAAGCAGTCATATTTGGACCACACTTGACTCAACAAAACGATTGTAGGATAGTGTGAAAACAGAAAAAAACAGCATGCTCAAATGGAAGTTTCCTCCTTACAGGATACAAGATCAAATTAGATTTCGAGCAAATTGTATTTTGGTTATTTTTCACGAAAGAGATTCAACTGCCAAACCATGGCTTTCGATGTATTTGAAGAAGTACCTTGGTATTAAGTCAGCATTCTTTCCCAGAACATCACCCACGTGGCCAAAGGGGTAATTTTCCATCAGTCTTTTTCGAACGGATAACAGCATTTTGTTACAGATCTTAGAGATCTGGCAAAATTCCATTACGACATATTCACATTATGACTCTGATCAAACGTGATGAACGAAAGGCAAGTTAGGCCGCCGCAAAAACCGAATTGTGTCGCACGCTGAAGTGCTGCACCGGCGCGGCCCACCTGGCAAAATCAGTTCTCCTTCCGGAGTTGCCTTTGATCGAGCACGAGTCTAACTGTGATCAGCATCCAATCAAAATTTGTTTTGCATGGCCATATATGACATCATTGGCCAGATATGGAACGTAAGGGCGTGGCTATTGGAGATTGGGAAACATAATGCTAAATTTGAATATATAAGCACAATTGGATGTAGTGAGAATCCATATGCAGCGGAAATGCTGTATGTTGCATGTTCTCGGTTGATTATTAGTGAATTCTCACCACATGCTTTTTACAACCATTGCATGATGCAGGGCCGTCGTAAGTTTACTGTACTTGCACAGTACATTTATAGTATGTGTGTACACGGCACGCACATGTGCCAGGCGCTGATGCAGCACAACTCGTTATCCATTTTTTGCATTCCATGTGCTATAAATGTCATGCCATATTAAAGGCAAACATCCCAACTGACCAGTTGGGTACGGTCAGTTTCGAAAGTGCTTTGTTTGATGATTTTTGGTTCAGTTCGGCCGTTAGGCTGCAGCACTAATTCCGGGCAAGGTCTTAACCATTAGTTTAAGACTGGCCAAGCGCGTATTTATTCCCGTTCGTAAATACCTTTTTATTCAGAGAGTCAAAAGACATCAACATATGATGGATTTCCAACGATTTTGTTCTAAAACCTTTATTTTCGTTTTCCTGAACACCCCCCGCCCATTTTATGGTACATTCCTTTATTTATGGTGTATTTCCTTTGAAAGTTTCCAGTTGATAGAATTCCCTTCAATGACCTTGGCGCGCTCATGGCGTGTCGCGTGCACACAGACTCCTGACCTGTCAGACCCTATTAAACTGTCTCGTATCCATATTCCAACGCTTGATCTACGCAGCGGGCAATATCACTTCTCAGTGGGCATTATCTTTTGATATTAATACATGGTCATGTGTTTCGACCAATAGAAATAGAAAAACCATCCCAGGTATTTATGAATATCATTTTAATTCACAGACTATAGCAAAATGGACTGAGGAAAATTAATCAACAACTTTCTTTTATGCATTTTTATCATTTCAGCTGTGGTGGAAGAGATTTATGCAGCTCAGAAGGAAAGAGACGAAGCCATCATGGCCAGGCTGCGAGTGGCCAACGAGGAACGAGACGAGTCCATAGCCAGGTTGCGCAGGCTGGAAAATAAGGACGATTTTGACTCAGGGACAGATGTGGATGATGATTATGGCCCCTCAGACATGGTAGGCAAAATAAGAGGCAGTTTCACTCGAAAAATGTTTGTTACGCCTAAATGTTAACCAGCCATTGCAGTTACTTTGTCAGTGTGTGCCACGCAGAGGAGACATGAGGTACGTCAGGCCACATTCACGTCTTGTATTTTCAGTGAGGTCTAGGTGTTGGCCAGTGGCAAATGGGCAGTGACATGTTGACAATGTTCGGGTTCGGATGTTCGGCTTTAAGAAGGCATTTCATTGAGGGCACGTGGGAATACATACAAGAAAACTTAATAAAAAAACAAACACAACGAAAAATGGATTACGAGTTGTACGGCATACTCCAAACATGCCTGAACATACTGAAACTTACAATGGCCCGCATCATGAGATGGTTGTAAAAAGCATGTGATTCACCACATGCTTTTTACAACTATTCATTCATTCAACCAAATCATTCAAAATCAACCAAGAACATGCAACGTCCGGTATTGTTGCTGCATAACATTTCTAAATTCTCACTACATCCAATTTTGCTCATTTATATTCAGATCTAGTATTATATTTGCCGATCTCCAATAGCCATGCCCTTATGTTCCATATTAGGCTAATGACGTTCCATATTAGGCCAATGATCTCATAAAAATTGATGGCCATGCAAAACGAATTTTGATTGGATGCTGATCACAGTCGGACTGGTGCTTGATCGAAGGCATCCCCGGATGGAAAATTTGCCAAATGGTTCGGTGCATGCAGCGCAGTGCGCGAGAAGATTTTTGTTCATGCAGTGGTCTAACTTGCCTTTCATTTGATCATGAAGGGTTTGATCGAAGTGGGAATGGAAAATCGCCCCTTTTGGTCACGTGGGCGCCGTCCTTGGAAAGGTTCCTCCTCAGATATGCAACAAAAGCCATATTTTTGTAGTTGAATCTATTGCGCAAAAATAACCAAAACACTAGTCGCTCAAAATCTAATTTGATCTTGTATTTTGTACTGAAGGAGGAAATTTCTAATTGAGCATGCTGTTTTTTCTATTTGCACATATCTTACGATCATTTTGTTGAGTCAAACGTGGTCCGAACACAACCGCTTCTGGTCGGCAAAACATGGTCAGAAACTGTCACACCTCCGGCGGTAACTTTATATGGAATGTACTCATAAATGAACTCTGGGGAAACAATTTAGAAAAAAAATATTAAAATCAAAGTTGCTCGTGGATGGGGAGAGATAGAAGATTCATTTATATTAACATAATTTTATACACAGAAATACTATATAGGCCTATGCGGCACGTTCGTAGCGAACTTTTAGATGTCTCGGTGTGCATTGTACACGTGTACATGTCCAAACCCCAACCGATCCGAAGTTCAGCAAAACATTTCTGAACTGTGTCTGACCCGAACCGTACCTTGACATCTTTTTGCAGCACTATTTGACGCGGAGTTTGACTTTTTTTTTCATTACCTTCAAAGAATATTGGTACACCTGACTGAAGTTCAAAATAAATTCATATTGTGGATATGAGGCAACTGTGTTTGGAATTTCCCATCACTTCCATATAAAATTCTTTATTTCCAGTCTAAAAAATGCTTAAAGACAAACTTTGATCTTGTGGTGATGTCTTTTTGTCAGGAATTACCCACTCATAATGTTTCTGAGGCTAGAGCAATTTCTGTAGCCTAGAATGCAGTTGATTTTGCATCTATCACAAGGTGTTAACCACTAATCCTTACGGCCAGCCAGGGAGGGCTGACCGGGGCCACTGACGTTCTCCTTGAATGGATCTACGGTATTGTTCACAACTAGGGCTGCGTAAGCCACAAACTCCATTGTTGTCAAGGTTGCCTGTGCAGCTCAACAGTCCAGGGCAGACGGGTCTTTTCAAACCGTTGAACTGTCCCAAACCAAACGAGGAACGGAACGAAGGGGGATTAACACCAACCGTCTAACTGTTTCTAAACTGTCTGTATTTTGACCTCACGCCTTACCCGACGTGTAGATTTATTAACACTATATACTCGGTGCTTACAGAGCATGCGAAAAAATTCACAAGCTTACTCTAGTGGGACTCAAACCCAGGACCTCTTGCTTACTAGTGTAATTAAAATTTGAATTCCCCAGACTAAAGACAGGCTATACCTTGTGATTCAGGGCAAGCTTTTGCATTGCGACCACCATCTCTGGAAGGGAATGGTTCCTTTGTGCTGTTCTTATCCATTGAGAACAATGTAATGGTGCAAGGCATCTCTTTTTAACTATTAAAGCAAAAGCTTCCCCCTTATCACGAGGTATAGCAACGGTGAGTTAAGAAAGGAGAATTCAAATTGTTATGTTCACATGAATTTAAAGAACTCAGTGTACCAGATTTTATTAATAAGTCGCAAAAGGATCATTAGCCATGCTCTTCAGAGCATGAAACTGTTACATTCGGTACAATTTTATGCTCTTGTCTCTGTGAATGAGGGCTTAACCTGACAGTAATGTTCTTTGGGCAAACATCACTGAGTGATACCTGCACTTTGCTGGTTGGCACATGCCCTCATTCCATTAGTTTACATACTTTTTCCAGTTAAGGCGGGTAGACTATTCCCACTCCCTTGTATTTCATTCTAACTTGAGTGATGGAGGTGGGGAACCAGACATTCAACCCAGTCTTTGCATTGTTTTCTACTGTGGAGATGATTTGGCATGGAACTTCAATCAGTTTGATTCTACTCTTGCTTTCCGATAGAGCATGGGCGACTTGCTGGCAAGGCTGAGCACGTCAGACACAGGGCCGGAGATAGCCATGTACGGCAAGTCCATCCTGGGTCAGATTAACCGGGTCAAGACTAGCAAGGGGCGCATCGTTGCCGAGGAGATGCGGACGATCATCCAGGAAAAGGATGCAGCACTGGCCAAGGTTAGTTGGGCAGGGAGTCTTGCTGAGTCATACATACATACAAACAGATGATGCTGTCTTGTCTGTGTGTCTAGAATTACTCAGTTTTGGACAAATAACCACAGCACATTAATTGCCCCTCCCTCGGTAGATTTATGTACACTGGGCTCTGTGCTGAAACAAGAGATGTTGTGTTTTTACAGAGCAGAGGCTTCTTTTGTTTGGTTAGGATGTGCCATGCATGCGCAGACTTTCATGCATGCTTGGTACGGGCCGCACTGAGCATCCTGGCCATTTTGTGTTGGAAGGTACCATTTGCAGTGGGTGCTTATTGAAACGGTCCATACAATGCACTGTCTTCTTTGCCAATGAGGTGGATGTTTCCACAAAGAGCTGATGGCTGGCACAGTCCTGCCACTGTGACTGGTAGGCATTCGGAATCCAGTTATCGCTTGTCTATTGGCTTAGTGCACCAGAGTCATGCTGTAAAGATGGTGTCCCCTTTTTGCCCTCTGTCATTACCTCTGGCAGAATCTCTTTTAACAATCCAGGTTGCCCTGCGCAGTGCCTCCTTTCCTCAGGCAAAATTGTCAAGAGTGATTTGTGTTCCCGGAAAGTAGTATATGCAGGGATGTGAGAATTCAGCTTTTTACCTGATTTCAGTTTTTTATCAATTAAGATGTTGACCCTGAATTACAGCACCTGCACCTAAAGTGGGTGTTGCAGTTGTTGACTCTTGACAGAACTTTGTGTTAGGCAAGCGTGTGAACTTGATATTGCATTTGGTCCTTCACTGATGCAAGACTAAGTTTGTAATTGACACCTACAAGGTGCTGTGATGGTGAATGAGTTTTTGAGATCCAGATCTAGTACTCCAGGGTTCTGACGCACCAAACTCCATGTAAATAATCTGGATGGCTCGTTAACTGTTCCAAGCTTAACAAGTGATGGAATCTACGCACTGGTTCCCAATCAGTCTGTTGGAATGTGTGGAGGGAACCAGTTTCAACCACTCCCAGTGTTCTCCAAGTTTGAGATTTTAAACTTGATGGGGACAGACAGAAATATTGAAATACTGGGGGGGTATGGTTCAAGGACCATGTCCAAAATAGAGTGCATTTCTTGGCATCATAGCTTTGAAATTGGAAGCAAGCATGACCACTGACAGACAGCTTTTAGTGTCCAGATCATGTTGTGTTGGCTAAAATATTCCAGAACGTAAATGTAACACCCCTAATGTTAAACTTGGTGGCCAGATTTTGAAGCTTGTTGGTTACTTTTAAACATGCGGAGAGACAAGGCACAACTTGGTGGGCCACCAGGCTATGTGGACTTCTATCGATTGGAAAGCACCGCATCCCCATCATCGAAAAAGTCTTGACCAATCCAATGGAAGGGTAGTGATGTACACATAGAGGAGAGTGGCTCTTCTTCTTAACCACTTGCTGCCGGGGGCAGTTATCAATGTTGATGATGCTGGTCCAGGATAATTATCATTTTTGTTCTGTTTGCAACATTCTTTAAAAATTCCTATCTTCATTTACTGGACACTTACAAACACGGGAAGGACTGTCTGGTGTCCACTCTAGCCTGACAGACAAAATGTATTGAGGCCTGAGTATTTCAGCCAGGCCTGCAGCCTTGTAAAAAGAGCCCAGATTGTGCAGTGTTATATAACATTCTTTTGTTCACGAACCTGACTCAATGTGTTGCTGACCTCTTTTCAATAGGGGCCAGATTAGCATGCAGCGGTGCTGTGTGGCTCATCGCTGCGGTGGTGGAGCGCTTTTTTCCCCAGTGGTAATCCGCTCGCTCTAAATGCCCCAAACCATGGTATACTGTTTCAAAACAGGGCTGGATTATCTCCACTTTTGAGAGTGAAAAATGCCGGTCATGCCCAGCAGCCTGGTCTTTTGTTCGGAGTACGGTCTTTTGTTACAGGGCCCTGTTTCCTTTGTCTGAGTTTGGAGACCCCGGCCAGGCATATCAACCATATTTATGATCCAGAATCCATGGCAGGAAGTGGTTAACGGGCTACATGTACATGTGCATTGTACTTGTGCCTATCTAGACTCTCTACAAGATCTGTGATCTGACCATATTGATCATAAGTAGAGCTCGAGGGGACGGAGGGATTGTCCCATAATGTACGAACAACTTGGAACCTCGCGGACACCTTCCATACCCATGCAAGTGAAATGCATACAAGTGTGCTGAGACGTGATGCGCATTTGAATTGATGACATCAATAAAATAAAAAAAAAAGCTTCGTGCATGTTGAAGACTACATAGACTATATGAGTGCATAAGTGTGGGTTAACATAGTAGCACGATCCATCCAACATGTCACCCTGCTCTGGGGCCAGATTTCTGTAATGTAAAACTTAGGCCTGTCACCTCTAGCTTTACTATTATGATCTCTATGGTTCTGGCCGGACTCAGTGCACAGAGCCCTCTAGTGGTCTGTTTTAGTCAGTCAATAACACCACTACCGCCACACTCTGTTGTTCATTAACCCATCCCCTGGCCAACATGTGGAACCTATGTGTGCTCAATCAATACAGAGTGTAAATTTCAGCTCCCCAATAATTGTTGGGGCTGTGTGTTTCTACCAGTAATTATAATTTGCACGTTCGTTGTTGAATAATAAATTGTTGGCTTTTTTTTTGCTTTAGAATTGAATGAAAAAGGCAACATCTGGTGTGACATTGCTAATTTTTGAAAGGCTAATTTATTTGTGTGTCAAAATTAATTCACTTTTCCCTGTTTTGAATTAACACAATATTATATAACCACAAACCAAACCAATAACTGTACAGGAAAAACCAGTAATTATGGGGAAAAATTGACGGGTAATGATGACTCTTTGGTTGATGAGACAAACGAAAGTACATGTACCGGTATCGTAGGGTTTTAGCAGATATTAACACATCAAATTACAAGCAATTACTGCGATTCTCATCAGTAAAAAGGTGAATTTTTTTCTCCCTAAAGCAGAGCTGAAACGAAAATGGATTTAGAGGAAGGGTTAGGTCGTGTCTGTAATGGTTTCTTTGTATAAGCCTCTGGAGCTCCCTCGGAGGAACCAGGTTTTAGTATGACATGCCCCCATTATACCTGCTGTACTTTGATGACATCGTGTAGGAAATGTGACAAATGAGCCATACGGACCATCTTTGTCAACAGTCTGTGATAGACTTATTGGTGGAGATTGGAATGCACCTTTACCTGGCCATAACATGCATCTTTCTTGAACATAATGTAACAATTTGTGAAAAGATTCAGGTTGAAAACTCTTTGGTTGCGCCATGGAAAAGAGGGAAAAACATGTTGTGTTATTGTTTAGAAGAAAAAATATTAGCAGTAAAAGGGTTTTTTCCCCAGCATACATGTACTGTAATTTGTACACAAGTGATTATACATTGTGTAGGTGACCAGAGGCATTGTACAGCTAAATCGGCAGTATCAGTTTAATATCATCGCAACCTTTATTTAGGTAAAGTGTGAGGCATAGATTTGCTTTTGTACCCTAACCTATTGACAGACATACATATTATAACATAGGACAATACAAGGCATAAACATGTTTTTGGCAATGATACACATACGGACAAACACTGACAGGCAGGAGATAATACAATGCATCAAAATACAATTCTAGTCGGTACATGCACATGTAACGGTAGTTGACACTCCGTCCAATGTAATTGTGTAGGATTGGTGACAAGTTCTGAGTTTGTTTGGCACAATACTGCAGTAAGTTTGTCCAGTCGAGTTAGCGGTGAGCTTCAGTCTCTCTGCCGGTTTGCTCCAGTCTCTCTGCTGTTGGGTTTTTTTTTCTACAGCACTGCTGCTTATCTCCTAAGTGTTGAACTAATTTAAACAGCAAAACATCAAATTGACTTTTGAGTGCGTGGATCTTTACTTGGGACATGATAGATCTCAATAGACAAACTTCAGTGTGAAATAACAATGGTATGAACGTGCACTGAAGTCAATATTGCTTGATATACATGTACTGTATGATGTTTGCATTCATGTACTTAGTTCATGTACACACTATTGAAGTATTTGATTCATGTACATACATGTATGCCGGTACTTGTTATATGAGTATACAGCTTGTGGTACATGCATGTTATGTATGTAAAGTTTGCAGGTTCCACACTCAAGCAGCTGATTCGGCAAAATCTGTTGCCACCGTTTAGATTAGAATCACAAGTTTGGTTAGAACTAAAAAGTGTCTAGTACCACTTGTGCATTTGGTGGGATTGGAGAAAGTGTTCCAAATGTTGTGTCTTTGAGGAATTTTCTGATATCGGGCAGAACGTTTTGCTCTGAAAATGTGGATGCTCAGCCAAAAAAAACAACCAGGAACTAGCAAGAACAACACACATTACAATTTACATGTACCTCATAGTTTGGCTAGTACCCTGTCTTAAGGGCCCTTGCAATGCTATGCTTCTTGTAAGTAATTTGTACATGTGCTGACCTGATATGCTTTTCTTTTTTTTACCCATTTGATGGCCACTAGCAGACTAGGTACTTATCTTTATGCTGAAATGAATTGCACATGAGCAAAAGGCATCCAAGGCAAAAACCTCAGTGTTCCAGCCATTTGTGTGCTAAAATTACACAAAATGTGAGATGTTTAGTTGAACATTTTTTACTTTGGTGGTTCATGGTTGTTTCAGGTTGTGATAATAGGCCAGTGAGCAACGTTTTCTCACTTTTTTAAGTTTAAAAAAGTGCACTGTCAATGAGAGTACTGAAACACAGTTATCAAACAGTTTTGATGTTTCTTTTTAACCCTAACCTTCCCCAACCACACAGAATTAAACAGTAGTAAAGTGTTTAATTCTGTGGGGATGGGTCTGGTAGGCCCATAACAGCTGCCTTTGCATTCGGTTTGGCATACATGTACCTCAGAAAAACAAAGTCCAACAGCCTCTGTACACAAAGTCCATATGGGTGTTTAACTTTGTGTGAATGGGGAAGGTTAGGGCCAGCAACCTAGGGGGTTAGGGGTGACTAAACAGATATACTGGTAGAAGGTGCACAGAAAATGTTTCAGAAATGAATTCAGATCATAGAAGACAAAATTGTTTCTTCACTTATAAATCAAATTTATGCACTCGGCAGTTCCCATGAGATGAGGCTGTCTTTCCTCCCCATGATTCCTACTGGTAGGACATGACAGAAACTAGAGTTCTGAATGTAAATTGCTGGAGTCAATTGTTATGTGCATGTGACTCATGCAGTTGTTATCTAATGCTCCTTCCTTCTTTTCCCGGATTTTATTCGTCTGACATGAAGAGCTTATCTCATTTTATCTGAAGGAATATGTGCATGGAAGTGTGCACCACTCATCAGGCAGCGTTTTAAGAGGTAGTCCAGCGTACATGTACAAGTTATTAAGTAATCCTCATGTTTATTTATTATTGGGAATTTTAAACAATGGCATGTACCGGTACATGTAGAAAACCAAAATTCTTTTTCTTCTAGTAACTATAAAGTGGTTTTTCAGATTTCTGTGGATTAATCTAAAATATTCAACAGTTCAACAAAGTCCAGGGCACAGAAGGAAACGCCATGTTTGGCAATTATTCCTAAATTATTTAAATGGTACGTGTAGGACAGGCTTGAAAATGAAATTTAACACAATTTTTTTTGGGGGGGGGAATTGTTACAATGTCATGGTACATTTCAGAAAATGTTCAAGTTTTGAAGATTAATCAGACAATTGAAGAAGAGGTAATTTTCAAGCACTTTTACATGTGTGAGGAAAAAAAATAAAAAAACTAATGAATTGAAGATGAAGACCTAGAGTTTTCTTATTGGAATTGTGTACCAATGCACATGTTGCTGGATTCTTTTCATGTCATTGAGCTTCTTGAATTGTTACTCTGTTTTTTTTGGTTTTTTTTAAATCACTACGTGGACCTAGGTGTACATACATATATTGGTAGTTATTGTAATCTTTGTGTTTAGTGTATACCATTATTTTCTTCAAATCTGTGGTATCTCCATACAAACACGCATGCTGGCATGACCGGTGTTCAACGATGACCCTCTCGCTTAGTTCCACCAATTTTGTCCCTTTTCTCCTAAATGCTTTACTCCCGTATGATCAACTAAATAGCTGACCATCAACAAAATGCATGAAACTGGAGTACAGGATTGACATGATGAGGCGGCACAGTCAATCTACATGTAAAAGGGTATTTTCTGCAAAAGATCGCAGAGTTTCGGATGCCATTTTGTTTCAATTTTTGGGTGGAATGACATCATGCACCATCCGTTCTTCCGTTCGTGTCTGCGTCTTCACATCTTGTGGACCGTCCACATTACAATATGAAAACCAGGCTTAACCTGTCTGTGTGCACGAGATTTTCATGCATCTACAGACCATGTCTACATGTTTAGCAACAGCGTAAACTCTACTCGTACATGTGATGAAATTTCAGTAAGTTAGGGGATTCTGAATTTCAGTGGTCCCTTGGGGGTTTGGGTTAAACTGCATGTATTTCAGAACTGTGCAACCCACAGTTTGCTAAAGTTATAGGTACATGTGAATAGTATCATCTGTTGATTTCTTTTTTTCCCAGTATCAACCAAACCTGTTTCTGTTCCCAATAGTACATGCATGTACATTGCTGTTAACCAGGGTTGTAGTCAACCTCTGAGGCCAAGACTGAGGCCACGCCCGCCGAGGCTGAGGCCAAGACCGAGGCCATAACCCCGAGGCCATTAAATCGGCCTCAAAGCCTCCAACACTGCTGTTCACGCACAGTTACACCTACATATACTTTCCATTCCACCAGTAAAGCTATCTGCCGCCCTCATTTGACCACCCACGCTCTGCCACCCCTGACTGACTATTTCAAAGATGGCATCAAAACATCTTTGGTTGCATCCAACAATAATGGCGATGTTGGAGTGACGGACTATTCGTCAGCCACTGGTTGATGTTCTTTGGCTGCCTCTGCATAGTACACGTATAGCATTGGCACCAGGTGTGATCGACCAGTAGTTAACAAGTGGTCATTGGTCAAGCTTGCCTGACAATGTCCACCCAGGGAAGCCATGGGCAAGTAGCTGTGGCTGTCCCCATAGACTGGTGTGCCAACAACAGCCGTAGTCACATAATTTGGACATGGCCTGGATGAGACTTGACTCCTTCATGCTGCATCCACATGGCCTCACATCCGTCACACCTGTGTGACCCTTTTCCTCCTGCCAGTCACTGCTGTCATTGTCCCTTTCCAGTACAGATGGCACCCAGAGCAAATATTTAAACAGGTTTTTTTTTAATCTTCCTCTCAGATGCCTGTTTCAGTTTTTTCCCCACCCTTAAGCCCCATCCAGAGACCTAACCAGCAAAAAAAACCTAGTGATAATATTTGGCCTTTATTGCTGTTTACTCGGCCCTGTTTCTTATCTGATCAGTTCTTGTCTTCTTTTCTGATATTTTTATGACAGTGTAAGAAGCTGGAGAGAGAGGCCATTGAGCTGAGACGGACTGCTGGAGGTCTGGCTGCTCTGAATAATAGTGAGCAGAGCCAGAGGGTAATTATTCCCCTATTCTGGTCACCATTTTGCTGCCTGCATTTCTTCTGTCAGTGACAGGGCCGTGCCGTTATCGGTTTTAATGGAAACTTATCTCCAATTTTCACATAGTCAGGTACCCCTGGAAACACGTTTCCCATAAAAGAACATGAAGCCAAATTTTAAGCAATTGAGCATGATGCGATTCCCCTGCAACATGCCCTGTGCAGTTAACAAGACAGTATATTGGAGGCTTTCTCGTGTGCAAGCAGATGATGCATCTGTTGTGTTTTTATTGGCAAGTGAATGGTTGAGACTTCTAGCAGTATCTACTCTTGATCTCATGGGTCTCTTAGGTCAGTTATTGGGGGGAATGGGGGAGATCCATGTACTTGATCATAGCTCCAGTCAGGGTTCTGATGTCTTCAAACTAACTGATCTCCTTCTGTGTTGCTATCTTTCTCCTCCCCCCCTCACACCAGGCATGTTCTTTCATTTGCTTCTAAAATGACCAGATTAACCATGGTTAAATAGACATTGCCAAAGTGGCTGTAGAATTTCAACAATGACCCTCGCACTTGTCTCTTCTCTGCTGAGTCTGGTCCCTTTTTACTGTGAATAATTCTGTGCAGTTGCAGTCTGTGACAGGAGCAGGATTTCTCAGGATTTACAAGATTTTTCACCCCAAAAATTTATCATTTAGGGTTTATGGCACCTGTGTACAAAAACGGATGAGTAAAATATTCCCCAAATCACAGCTATCTGGGAAAGAGCTTGTACATCGTACCTTGTAAACCATTACTTAAGAGTCAGTTTCTCTTACCAGTTCACAGCTTATTGATGTTATCGTTTCAATCCCTCTGCTGGGTATCTTGTTGGTTTCTCTTCATCCCAAATCTTAACCCTGCTGGAATGACTGCATGTCAGTATGCATTGCACTGCAGTTACATGTACAGGTAGCTTTTTTAATGCCAAACAGATGGTTGATTTGAATGGTTTTTTTTATCTTGGCTTACCTTTCATGTGTGCGTGTGCACACTGTGCTTTCTGAGAACTTAAGACCAAAGGACAAGAACATTTCTTGGGTAGCACTTCCCAGTGTCACCTCCCATACCTTGGCAGAGAATGTGTGTAGAGTATCTGCTACTTGTTCTCACAAGCATGTTAACATGCTTGGTAGTAAGATTCAGATATACACGCATTTTGTGGTTGCTCTGAAGTTCAGTACCTACTGAGTTTCAGCTTCAGTTTGCCATAACATTCTTGGAATATTTACCTGTTCCTTGATTGCATACATTTATTCCCCAATAAACATCCAATGTTGCTTTTCATGAAGCTGAAAGACACATCTTATCTAAGGTACATGTAGATAAGTAGGCTTTTAACATACAAGCACCGGCAAATTCACATTTTGAAAACGTCACAGGAAAACAAAGTGATTGGAGAGCAACATGAAACAACCCCAAGACACAAAGACTGCCATAGGAGCTCACTCAAGGCACCATACTGTGAAAGCAAAAGAACATATCAAGCCACAGCATCTTGTTATAGTGGACAAACACAAGGACCATACACTTCTCACATCCTCAAGTGCACCTCACATGAAAAGGACAGAGGGGGGAACAGGAAGTGACGTGAATGGGCTCAGTTTGGAGGTGTACCACATCTGAACAATAGGAGAGGTGCAAGTGCATTGTGAGGGCTGAGTGGCTGGAGTGAAAGAGAACAATGCCGAGAGGTGTGGGAGTTGGAGAGGGAGGGAAAGGCAAATTAGTCAAGGGAGCATCTTGATTTGGTTGGAGGAATTTGAAGAAGGCATATTTTTAGACAAGTTGTTAGTCATTGGTGGTCCAGATTTTGGCATTTCAAGTTAATGGCAGGTTCAAATTCTTGGCAGAAGGAATGTACATTGTACAGTGACAAATGGCAACCCAAGAAATTCCTAGCACCAACACTACGTGTATGTGCAGCACTCTAGCCATTTTGCACTAAATCCCTCAAAGTTCTTGTGAAAACACTCAGACTAAAGTTCATCACACGATCATCAGTATATGATGTGCTCATTTAATTTTGTGTGGAAAAGCAATGCGATCAGCAGTTGAACTGATTAATGGATTAGATACATGTATGTTCAAACACAGCTAGCAGAAGCTAGAAAGGTGAATTAAGTTTTGACGAGAGCAAACCGAGATAAAAACCCTACGATAAAATGGTGTTTGTGACAAAACAGAAGCAAATTTGATGTCTCCGGTGATGATAAATCCATGTCAGGGAGTGAGGAGATTGGAAGATACCCGTAGTAACAAACCCCCCTAACTGTCATAGTCGACTGTTTTACGCTAGTGAAAAATATATTTCGGCATGAAGCTTTTGTAGTCTTAGGACTTACTTTAATGAGCCAACCATGTTAATCAGTGGCTTGCTCTCGAATAAATAAAATCATTTTCACTGATCACTTACCAAACATGGAAGTCATCAGATAAAGTGCTTTATCGAACTGACTTACCATTATGTGTCTGGTCACAGAGTAACTGGGGAAGTCACTAGTTTAGATACAAAGAAACACGTTGTTCATTTAATTCAGTCTGTTTTCCTTCTTTGACTTACTAATGTGACGTCTTTCTGGTAATGACATCAAGGATTCCTGCGCCCAAGGCACTGTACATGTAGCTCATTAGCCTGAAGAAACCTGCAGAGAAGAGACAGAAGAAGTTACAGTTTTATGAGTAGTGGGAGAAGCCCAGAAAAAAAAATGTTCTAGGTAAAACCCACAGAATTAGGTAAGGACTGAAAACCCACTCCACATGTGGACCAAGCCAAGAACCTGAGGAAAGGGGGGGGGGAAACACCTGACTCCCTGACCTCCTGACCTGACTCAGTCTGATTCTGTGTCGAATTGAAACAGTCTTCTCCTCTGTGGTAAACACAGGGTCACAGTTTGTAACAGGCACAGAGTCCATTCCAAAATCCATTCATTTTCTCTGATTTTTTTTTACCATTATAAGATGCATTGAGACTTCTGACCTCAACTGTATGTGCATTCTGTTCTGGTGACCTTACACATTGTTCTGTGTTGGTATTTCATTCAACTGTCATGGGCAAGCCCCTTCCATATCCTGACCTTGATTTTGTTTTAATCTTTGACCTCAGAACGTTGGTATCTTTGACCTTTGCACTTAATGCATTTCTATATGGTCATTTTTCCTGGCCCAAACAGCCCCATTTATGTTTACTGTCATATTGCTCTTAGTATCATGCTGGAGTTGAACCTTAAATCCTCTCTAAAATGATGTTTTACTGCATTGCATTTATCTAGCTCGGCGAGCTGTACATGTATATATTTTTTTCCAGCACAGAGCCAAACGCCTTTTTATTTGCAGTTTGTTTCCTTCCTGTTCATCAACTCCCCCTAACCAATATTGTTTGCCTTCGTGCCAAAGTTTCGTGCCCAGCTATTTACCAGGTCACCCAAAGCTAGCAAAAACCCCTTTTTGGAATTAGCATTGCTGTCTTCTTTCTTTTTTTGGGGGGGTATATTTTTATTATTCACTGGCTTGTATTTGTGCGTTTGACCTCTTGACCTCAAACTTTGCTAATGCGATGGAATTTGGCCTCGGTCATTGAGGGAACACGCACGATAGAGGATGCACATGTAGGTATTTTTTTAAGATAAGCACAATCACGTTCTTGACTAAACTTGTTTGTTGATAAACAGGTCTCGGAATTTTTTTGTCCTTTCACAGCGGCGTTTTTCCCTGTTAAAAATGGTGGAGGATTCAATATTGGCATCAGGTGGCTTTGTAAATTTACTCATCCACCTGACTTTATTTTGGAATGACTGATGGGTTTGTCTGAGGACCGAATGACAGATTTTCTTTCCTGCTCATTTCAAAAGACTTGTTTACTCACTCGGCAGTACCAATGCTTGTGACTTGACCTTGAGTCGGCAATAACAGCCTTGCAGAGTTTGTTTTACATCCCCCTATAATCATTAATGCAAAGGTACAGACTCCTATGTGGTTTGTCAGTAGGACAAGACTGTCTGCAAAGCTCTAATGGGAACAGGTCATGAGCAGTGACACTTCAGGATTTAGGAATTTGAGTGACTGTTTGATATGTGGTGCTATTGGGTTGCATGGCTTGTCATATGGACAATCTTTGCACCTTCCAGTGCCCCTGGTCACATGATCACGATACTGTCAGAATTCCATTTTGTACTTACTACTCTGACATTTCAGTTTACATTGCTAAGCGCCTTTTACATCCATCCCCCCTTGCCCAGGTTGATTTACATGCTTTCATTCAGGTCCAGGGGGTACCAGACCTTCAAAAATTTGGCAAACAAATTTGACAGTGCCCCACCCATTTCTTTTTATCAAACAGCATAACTCTTGACATTTTCTTGTCAAGTGAGGAAGGCAATCCGGCATCTGTAGTGATATCCTAAGCCCTTTTTTCCGCCCTCCTTTAGAAGGCCCATAGTGTGTCTCTTCTGTCTAGTTGTTCCTCATGCATCCAAGGGTGTGCGTTATCATACCAAGCAGTGTTTGCTGTAACCCAGGAGACCGCGTAGATTTCCTGACACCTGTGTTTACCTACGTGATTTGATATGAAACCAGCATTAGCATACGCGCACACACAACACCGCCCTCCTCACTTCACCTTAATCTAACTCTTAATGGCCGATGTGAATGGAACCACCCCCCCCAGCAAGAAAAAAAAGACATGCCTGAACAATCCTGATGGGATTACATTTTCATGTTAATGCTCTGGTTTTGGGGGGGTAGGGGAATTGTAAACGTGGGCACAGATTAGCCTCTATGTTGCCACCATGTTTGTTGGCATAGGTCCATTCACATACCCCCTGTCTACCCTCTTAGTACCTCATTGTACCACCTTGGTGGTCGTCCTTATTAATAATCGAGAAAGCCTTCAGCTACTAACAGCGGCCAACTCTTCATGTTCTCTTCATCCCCCCCTCCCCCCATTTCTTTGTTTGTGCTCACTTCCTCCTGAGGAGA